GAGCGGCCCCCGAGCTAAATGGTCGGCTTACACACTCCGGCGTGGCGAGATTTTCGCGCGCCCACCTATTCCACTCGATTCTAGGGCCAGCTCACCGCTCTGCAGTCCCGCTGTGTTCCAGGCCCCTGTCTCCTCCTTCCGCTTCCGGGATAGGCCCCGCCCTCCTCCGGAAGTCCACTCGTGGAGAGGCGGTGACGCGAGGCGACGGCCAATGGGGAGCGGCATTGGCTGGTGTGCCCACCCCTCTTGTCCCCGCCCCAGCTCCGCGTCGGGCTGTCGGACGGGCGGGAAGGGGCGGCCACTGGGGTAGGATGGCGGCGGCGCCGGGTACGGGGGGTCCCGGCGCGGCGAGTGGCGGCGGCGGCGGGGCGCGCGAGGGCGCACGGGTGGCGGCGCTGTGCCTGCTGTGGTACGCGCTGAGCGCTGGCGGCAACGTAGTCAACAAGGTGATCCTGAGCGCCTTTCCGTTCCCCGTGACCGTGTCGCTATGCCACATCCTGGCGCTGTGCGCGGGACTTCCACCGCTGCTGCGCGCTTGGCGCGTACCCCCCGCACCACCGGTCTCGGGCTCCGGGCCCGGCCCACAGCCGTCGCCCGGCCCGCTGCTGCCGCCGCGCTTCTACCCACGCTACGTGCTGCCGCTCGCCTTCGGCAAGTACTTCGCGTCTGTGTCGGCTCACGTCAGCATCTGGAAGGTGCCAGTGTCCTACGCGCACACCGGTGGGTGCCGCGACCGGGCCTGGGGTGGTGTCCCACCTGGAACGCTGGGCTGGGAGTCGCCAAGGCTGTTAGTAGGGAAGAGACAAGCACTGGTGGCTCAGGGAGGGTTGGGGCTGAGAAGGGAACTGAGAGCCTAGCAGGCCGGACCACAACTGTTGGGTTAGGGGGGAGCCCTATAGAAAGAAAAGGGCTGAAGAGGTTTGAGGGGCTGATAAGTTGTCCCAACCCTCGGAGGAGTGGGTACAGGCTCCCAGGGTGGATCCCGGGCCTAGGGCGGCCACCTTAGCGCCCCCTGCTTCTCTTTGCAGTCAAGGCCACCATGCCCATCTGGGTGGTCCTCCTGTCCCGGATCATCATGAAAGAGAAGCAGAGCACAAAGGTAACCCAGGAGGGCTCTGGGCAGGTGGGGACCCCAAGGGTTTCCTGGAAGTTGCCCGGCTGGTGACGTGGTCCACACTCCTGGCCTGCAGGCTGCCTGGCTTTCTGTCAAATAAGGAAATTAGCTTAGAAGCCTCTGGTGGTCCTTTTGCTGCTAAATTTCTCAAATCACTGGGGGCAGTGGTGAATGGGATGTGTGTTCCTGAGTTGTCTCTCCTGTGTGGTCTCATAGACGCTGCCCTCTCTCTCTGGTCCCATTTTCCTTCTTGTTTTGATTCCCTACCCAGAGTATCTGCTTTATGATGACCTGGTCCCATCTTAGCCAGGCATTCATTCTCCTCCAGTGGGGCCCAGGATAGAATATCTGACTTTGTGCTGGAATGGCGTTTCATTTCTTTGCAAGAAACAGCGTGGTTAGTTTGGAGGTTTCTGGGGTCAGAAGTGAGATGCTAGTCAAAGGAGTCTAATTTTGGCAAAATTCATCAATGTCTTCGAAATAAGAGCGGCTAAGAATTGAGAATGGAAGTTAAAATAACACACAGAATCCAAGACTGCATAAGGAAGATGCTTTGGGCACAATCCAGGGTCTGTTCCATATGCCAAGCCAGGGCATTTCCTGACTTGGGGCAAGAGAAGCTGTGGCTTTAGCCAGAGACAGCCTTGCCCATGTCTTTAAGGGAAAGTAGGACTCCTGTTTTCCAGCTGGAATCCATTTCATGCTGGACAGAGCTCCTCTTTTCTTCGTGGTTGGTTTCTGGCATCCTGTATTTTATGTAACTCAGAGCAGCAGTGCCCTGGATCAGCTTATAGAAACTGGGCCACCTCTGGCTGATTTTTTTATTTCAGCCTTTTCCCCTGTAAAACCTGGGTGTGCTCTGCTGTCTGCTTCCAGAATTATGTCAGGTGTGACTTGTCTCCTGAGTTGGAGTTGCCCGGGAGGTGTGCAGCTACATCACTCGATATCACAGCATGCTTATCAGGTTTCCCCGCTGTACAGGACATTGGACCCACCTTGGGCAAGGAGCCGGAAACTTCACCCAGTGAGGAAACACTAGGGAATGACTGGGGCAGGAATCTAATAATGATGGAATAAGTATGGATCCACCCTGTGATGAAGATAAAGCAGGTCATTCCAGATCTCAGGGGAGGAAATTGGACTGTAAGGGGGAGTTGCATGACTGAGGGCCATAGCCAGTAGTGTGAAAGGTGGAATTCAGAGCCTTGCTCTGCCTCAGGGGGAGGGGTGGGAGGACCTCACCACCCAGTCCTAAAATCTCCACGGTACTTTAAGTGTGTTCTTTGTAGGAGAGAGATGAGCTGGGAGTCAGAAGAACTAAACATCAGGGATGGATTTCATTTCTCCGGAAATTGGAAGCCATTGAGTCAGCAGAACTCAGGAGCCATTCCATGTACCAGGCCCTGGAAAGCTTGGACCTTGTGGAAGGCCTCCTATCCATTCAGGCAGCAGTTACTAGGTGCCTGGTGTATGCTGGGCACCAGGGTAGAGCAATGAACAAGAACCTGCCCTAAAGCAGTGCAGGACACAGACAATGTAACATAGACTTATAATAGCAGAGATCTCTGTGCCCAGCAATACCCAGCAAGGGTATTCAGAGGAACCTGACAGGGTAGAGGGGTATAGGAAGGTGAGTGTGGAAAGTTCTCCTCTTGAATGGTGTGTGAACTGAGGCCTGAAGGGGAAGGAGTTCTCCAGATAGAGAAGGCATTTGGGCTGGGAAGGGAGGAGGGTACAGCCAGTGGTAAATGCATGTTGGAAAAGGGACCCTGTCAGCCTTGTGGAAAATCAGAATTTCAAACCCTGGTGTGTTGGTGGCAGCAGCTGAATAGGTCTGTGAGGAGCAGCCCCAGTTTGCGGCCCTGAGCAGGGGCTGTTAATGGGAGTGATAGTGTAAGGAGTAGGGCTGCCCACAGTGACAAAGCCCTACCCCAGGTACTCTGATAACCATCTGCCTTCCCCCAACTCTCAGAGTGTTGCTGTCACAACTAACACTTGTCCGAAGGGACAGGTCATATCTCTTTGGTGAGAGAGGAGAGAGCAGCTGGGGCTTTCCCCTCGTGTTTTTTGGGCTGCCCAGCCCCACTCTAGCCCACCATCAGCCCTTCCCGCTCTCCTTCCACAGGTGTACTTGTCACTCATCCCCATCATCAGCGGTGTTCTGCTGGCCACTGTCACCGAGTTGTCGTTCGACATGTGGGGGCTCATCAGTGCTCTTGCTGCCACACTGTGCTTCTCACTCCAGAATATTTTCTCCAAAAAGGTATTTTGGCATCGTTTATGGTATGCTTGATATTTTAGGGGCGTGTGGGTGGCATTTGAAAATGTGGCCAATTAGGGATTTCTTTGGCGTTGGAGCAAAAAAAATTGTATTGTCATTCTGCTGGTTTTTTATTTGTTGTTTAATTTTTTAAAAGAGATTACGGTTTTTTTTGTAATTTACTTATTTGTTTTTAGCGAGAGGGGAAGGGAGGGAGAAGGAAAGAGAGAGAAACGTCGATGAGTGACCTCTCATACATGCCTGGACCGGGGACTAAATCTACAACCCGGACATGTGCCTTGACTGGGAACCAAACCTTCAACCTTTTGTTTTGCAGGGACAATGCCCAACCAACTAAGCCACACTAGCTAGGGCGGGTTTTTTTTTAAGTAATTAATTAATTTTCAAATACAAGTGAAATTTATTTAGGAAGTCACAGAGCTAAGAAAAGTGAACCAGCTGGACTGCATGGGCTCAGGAAACAAGTTACAGAGGCAAAAGCAGGGCCCTTGGAGCTTAGGGGAGAGGGAGAGAGCATGAGGGAAGAAGAGGGGAAAGTCATGGGTGTGCCCCAGAGAGAGAGCAGGGGGGAGAGAGAGCACATGTGTGTGCAAGAGCCCCTGGGAAAGGTACAGGTGTGAGAAAGAGCACTATAAGAGATTGTTGTTGTTGTTTTTTTTATTATACAGTTATTGAATGCTCATTGTGAAAAAAACAAAGAAAAGCTCAATGGAAAAAAATCAGAATTGAGCACCTACTCTGTGCCAGGTACTATAGTAGGTGCTAGAGATGAAGAAGAAAGAGACCTACCTACCTGCCCAGGGGTTTCCACCTGTTGAGTGAAGTCCCAGTACTGTCCCCTAAAGAGAACTATTAATGCTAGGGATATTCTCTGCATAGTTTTTCGAGTTGTGATATTATACACACATTTTAGAATTTTGCTTTGTTCATTTACTGTTGTAACATCTCATGCTCCCACATCATTAAAAATCATGGCTCTTCTGTAACAATCACACTCTTGTCAGGTACCACAATTAATGCAAATGCAGGTTATTTCCAACTATTCATTGTAAGTAATGTAATAATTCACAATGTTTTTCTCTCAGGTTACTTCCATATGATTGGCTTATAGTTCTTGAGTCAGAAGATAGGAGATATTTATGGCTCCTACTATACTTTACCTGGTTGTATGCAGAAACAGTGATATACTAATTTAGTGGATGTCAGAGTGCCTATTCCACTGCAGCTTCACCAGCATCGAGTGTTGCTGGGTTTTTGTCTGTTTTCTTTACTAGGTCTTTTGTATGTAAAACACTTTGTTTCAGGAATGAGCTGCGTATCGCATCATATGCACACTTGTAGGTTTAGCGGTCAAGGTTGGACGTTGGTGTTAATGTCCAGTTACTGTGTTTGGAACTGGGTAACTGGAGTCCTTCTTGCCACTAACGGTGTCAATTGGCCCTTAAAAGAGATTTTCTCTTTTCAGGTATTGAGAGACTCACGGATCCACCATCTCCGGCTGCTGAACATCTTGGGTTGCCATGCCATCTTCTTTATGATCCCCACGTGGGTCCTGGTGGACCTCTCAGCTTTCCTGGTCAGCAGTGACCTGGTGAGTTGGCCAGCACCAAGAACACACCCTTTTCTTGACTGGTTCCAAAGTAGGTGCTTTGTCAGGGAATTACACCTCTGTGTTGACTTTGGGGCACTTAGGGCCTCCAACGGCCAGATCTTTGAATACGCAGCTCTGTCATGACTCAGGCTGTGTGCAGTCGAGGAAGTCAAGTCGGCTTCCTCTGCATTTCCTTCTCTAGCATGCTAGATTCCCGCTGCTGATAGCAGTCACATTTGCATCAGTGGCATGAAAGACAAAAACTGCCAGGATGGGGCCTGATAACTTGGTTCAGATGTCACTTTGACTTTTTAAACTGTGCTCATTTTCTTTTTGGTGTTGTTTCTGTACATATTTCCATGTACTCCAGTTGTAGCTGTAGCTCTCTGAGCACAGGAAATAGCACCTTCCCACCACCTGTGCCAGGCCAGCCTCCAGAGAGTACCGTAGAAACTAATGCAGGTGACAGTGAGAAGAGGAGGTGTATATGGTTCTTTCAGGCCTGAGTTAGGGAGAAGGAGTAATTGTTTATTAGGGCTTAATGATGTCTGACTGGATTCCTGACATTGGTCTTTAAACCTTAGCACCACCTGTGGGTGCAGTGGAGCTTATCTCCCATTACCAGATAAGAAACTGGGGCTCTATGTTCTAACTTCCCTTCCACATTGATTGGCTGTGATTTCTCTGTAACTTTTCATCATTAACCAGGACCAGCCTGTTACCTTGAAGTTCAGTGTGTGAGAGGCAGTTCAATGCTTCCCTTTCCTTTCAGTTACCATTTTCAGAGTAAAGAGTTCGTGTTGACTGCAAATATTAACCAGTAAGTTAAGGGTTTCTTCCCTTTTTGGGTGGGGAGTGACGGAGAGTTCTTTTATGTGTTTTAGTGTCATTATGAAGTCATGTTAGTTGTATGTAGTATTGTTTTCATATTCTAACTAGCCTGTCTTGGCCGATGGAGCCCATCCTGTTGGCTCCCTGCCCTCCTGACAGCACACGTCAGTCTGTGGCTTTTGGTCCGCCAGAACTTCCTCCTCTGTCTGTGCACCCTTGCCCCAGGCCTGCCATTGGCCATCCCTTGGGGACCCAGGCTGCTTTTAATGGAGATTGGTGCTTAGAAACACCACCTGGGCGCCGTGTGTGCTCCCTGCTGTTGGGCTGTCATTGCTTTTAAGCCTTTGCAGCGAACACTCAGGAAAAAAGCATTTGGGGGCAGAAGGGAGAGTTCATACCAACTTTCCAATTCTCATTTAATATCACAGAATTTATTACTGCTTTGAACTTTTTTATTTGTGTCTTTTCTAAAATGCTTGGTTCCTTGCACCACTTTCTACTGGCTCACCCTACTCCAGTTATTCATGTATGTGATTCTACTGTACGCATACAATCATCTCAGAGTGAGAATCCCCAGGGGCAACGAAAAAAGTTTTAAGATTTCTGTGCAGCTCTGCTTCTCCTTAGAACGTGTTCCATGAAAAATGTACAGCAGGTCCTTGGATGATGTCGTTTTGTTACAGCGTTGCTGCTGTTACAGCTTAATTCTCGTTAATACGTCTTTTCACTTAAAGTCTCTGGACCTGTTGATGACATCGGTCCTTGCTATACAGTTGAGATACTGTGTTCTAAGGGCTGTCTTTGTAATGTGTCTGTGTCAGTAACTTATGTAATTGGGTTCCTTTACTTGTGTTTCTTTTCAATTTTTAGGCATTGCTTTCTTCCACCCCCACTGAATATGTCAAATCTTTGTATTTCTAAAGCCAAATGATGTGACAAGCTTTATTCAAAGATATACTCATAACTTCCCCCCTCTTTGCACAAAAAGTGACTTTTTAGATATTTAGAAAAGTAGCATGTCCCGGAGACCACTCCATTTTGACATATTTAGGCCTCTCTCATTCCTTTCATTGGCTGTATCATGTCAACAGGTTGAGTGTCCGTTCTCTTACACTGTCCTGTGTTACAGCTCTTTGCTGTCTCTATATATACGCACAAACATGTATGTATAGGCTTTGCTCTGATCTCTTTTCTTGCTTTTTCTTGTATTGAGGGCATTTTTCAGTTTTCTTCTCGTGATCACCCTGTACGTTCTAACAGCAGCCCTAGGAACACATGGGGCCTTACAGGAGCATCACCCCAACTAGGAGCAAATGTCTGCGTGGCCTTGTACAAGTCACCTGAGTGTGTTTTGCTCACCTTTGAGAGGACCACGTGATCCCTCCCTCTCAAGAAGATAGTAGAGATGGAATCAAGCAGCCATCCTAAGATTGCTTCAGCTCCTGTCCTGGCAGGTCCACTGTCCTAGGGGAGCCAGCTGTGTCCTCCCACAGCCAAGGACAGTGTGGCCGGGGAATTGGCCTGCAAAGAGTAGCTGCCACCAAGCAGCTGTGGCTTTGCTACCTGGTGGAGTCTCACTGGGTCTGGAAACTGCTCTGTCCTTGGAGCACTGGGACACAGCGCTGTCCTAGCACTACTGTCTGGGCCACAGCCTGGGCTGTCCATGGCCGGCGTGCCATCTCCAGAGATCATTCACTGGCCTGGCAGCACTGCCTGTATAGCCTCGTGGTTCCTCGACCCAGAGGACTGATGCTAAAGAGGGACTGTAGAGGGTGGGGAAGTGTGGAGGCCGTGCTGTGTGCTTTTTGGTATCCAGCCCTGAATAGATACAAACCCATAAATATTTGGTGCTGGATGTCTCCCGCCACCTGGCCTACCTAGGGCCTACCTAGTTCTCCTCTCTCTTCTGTCTGATGGTCAGCCTGGGATCTTTAGAGGGTTCTGTGATACACATACCTGTTAGTTGTGGGTTAATTGACTTCTGGGCCTCCCTAATCTGCGCGTGTCATTCAAGTGAAGGTCAGACAGTAACTGCAGTTCTGATAATGCATCACCTTCTTCTCATGTTTATGTGGCTTGGAATCGCTTCATACCACTTTGGGAGCCGTGACCGCATTTGATCCCCACAGCGGTGGCATTGTGCAGGCTCAGCGGGCATCATCCCCTGTTGCAGAGACAAGAAACCTCAACCAGAGAGGTCAAGCAGCTGCCCGGGGCTTCCAGTAATGGGGCAGGCCCAGGTCCTCTGGCCTTCCCTCACCCGCCAGGTTCTTTTTACACTCAGGCAGCCTTCCCAGGACCAGGGTGCATTTGTAGAATGTATCGTCATTGCTATGGTCTGAATGTTGGTGTCCCCCTAGAATCCACATGTTGAAACCTGACCTCCAGTGGGATGGTATTAGGGAGTGGGGCCTTTGGGAGGTGACTAGATCTTGGGGACAGTGGAGCCCTTATCAGTGGGATCAGTGCCCTAAAGGGGCCCCAGAGAGCACCCTTTCCTCTTCTACCACTTGAGAACACCTCGAGGAAATACCACTTGTGAGCCCAGAAGCCCATGCCAGACATGGAATGTCCTTGATCTTAGACTTCCAGCCTCCAGAATTAAATATCTGTTGTTTATAAGCCCCCAGCCTGTGGTGTCTGTTATAGGAGCCCGATTGGACTGAGACCATGTCCAGTAGGCAGACCTTCTTCTGCATACCCCAGAGCCCCGGCCCTCACTGTACAGGGATGATGAAGGCTTTGGTTCACACCATGCTCTGTGTCCTTTGGACACCTGACTTCTCTTCAAGCCTCCGCTTTCTCGGCAGACGGGAGGTGGTGATGGTAGTGTTGATGACAGTAATGAGGATGGTGGTAATTGTGAGGATGATGGTGACATTTAAGACAGTGATGGTGATGATGATGGTGACAACTGTTGTTTCATGCAGTGTCATGAGGGTTAGGAGCACTGTATCACACTAGAATCCACTAGGGTCTGCTCCCCACTGAATGACCCCGATACACCACTCTGCACCCCCAACCTCTGCCAGGACAGGCATGTGACCACGGTGCTGTCTTGCTCCCATCTGTAGACCTACGTGTCCCAGTGGCCCTGGACGCTCCTGCTTCTGGCTGTCAGTGGCTTCTGTAACTTTGCCCAGAATGTCATTGCCTTCAGCATCCTCAACCTCATAAGCCCTTTGAGCTACTCAGTTGCCAATGCCACCAAGAGAATCATGGTCATCACGGTGTCCCTGATCATGCTGCGGAACCCAGTCACCAGCACCAATGTCCTGGGCATGATGACAGCCATCCTGGGGGTCTTCCTGTACAACAAGGTGAGTCGGGGGTGGAAGAGGCTGTCTGCCCCCTCAATACCCAGGGAGGCACCAAAAGATGGTGGAGGTAGGAAAAGAAGGGGCCTCACCAGAAACTAAGATGCCCAGGTTCTAGCTCCCACTTTTGTCAGACTGGTTTATGGTCTTGGCACAGCCTCTCCCATCCTGGCCTTTTCCTACATGGATGACTCTGGCATTTGCCTCGTTCCAGCCATGGCTCTTGGGTCTACTGAGGTTTTGTTGGGATTTCTTTATCTCCTGAGTAGGCCCTTTTTAGGCCCCTGTAGGACAGAGAATGGCCAACAAGGAGGGCCAGTCCATTAACTGTTCACTGGCCATGTCTAGCCCTGCTTGGGTCAACACTTAACATTGGCCTTGAAGGGCTGCTTGGCTGTGAATCTTGAGCTCCCCTTTGTCTTGTGTGCATGTCCTGGGGAAAGAGCCAAGTGTCCCACTGCTCTCTTGACCCCACAGACCAAGTACGATGCGAATCAGCAAGCGCAGAAGCACCTCCTCCCCATCACGACGGGGGACCTGAGCAGTAAGGAGCACCACCGAAGCCCGCTGAAGAAGCCCCACAATGGCGCCCTCTTCCCCCAGCATGGAGACTATCAATATGGCCGCAACAACATTTTAACAGACCACTTCCAGTACAGCCGACAGAGCTACCCAAACTCATACAGTTTGAACCGTTATGATGTGTAGAGCCTAGAGGATGGGGGGGCCGTTCTGCAACTCCCCCCATCCCAGTCCCAAGCAGTACCAGAAACTTCTGACAACCAGTGAATGTAAGCCCAGCCGAGGGGACAGTGCACAACCCTCAGAGGACCCTGGGGTTCTCGGCCCCCTGGAGCGTCAGGATGCCCTCCCTGCAGTGAGGACCACCACTCATGCTTCATGCTCTTCCTTCCTGGAGTCTGTCATCTGAGGGCGTCAGCACTACGTAGGTCTTGGCCATGTTTTATTTTTCTGTGTTGACTTATTCCCCAGGTCGTGTATTTCAGAATTCTTGTTCTGCTTCCCAGATAGCATTTCCAGATGACCCTCTGGGAAGGCAGAATCGTTGTGGATGCAGACCCTGGAGTGGACATGGTGGATTGTTTCCCTGTCAGCCCCATGGCTGTTTGCAGTTACCGGCAGGCACTCCTACGCGAACAGCTATTGCAGTTAGCACTGAATTCTTAGAGGCTGACTCTGATCCGTAAGTCAGAGGAGCTGTGTGCCGGGATTCAGAGGGAAGAGCAGAGCAGGGCACTGTTCTTCTCGGAGCAGGGAGGAGGAAGAGACTGCAGGGCTGGGAGAGGGATCGTTAGGAAATCATGTTCAGTGTTTCGAGCTCTATTTCTGTCTTTTTTGTCTTTTCTGGTCGGTCTTCACTGCTGTGATGACTTCACAGGATGTTGGGGAGATGTTGATTTCAGGAGGATCTCTCATTTTTTAGGGAATGTTTTATAGTTGTGTGTATTTATGCCTTGGTCCCCAGGAGGGGATGCATAGGGACTGGCTTATAGATTGAAAACCCTTTTGTTTTTAAATGTTTAAAAGCAAGAAAAGTTCCCACTGCTGATGCCTATCTTGACACATACCAACATTTGGTAGAAAACAATGAGGTGTTGAGAAGCCCCTCTCAGATGACCACAATCACTGAAGACAGAATGAATCAAGAATATCATCTCGATGGTTTGTGTGACAGACAAGAGCACAGTGCTTCGAGTCCATGGCCTGTTCTTGTGATGGTTACACTGGGTCTGAATCATGTCCTGGTGAAGGGGAAAGAAGCAAGCACCAAGCTAGGACCTGGTTTGTGAGATCAGATGCTTTGGTCAAGAAAAAGTTGCTTTTGGCAGGTTCGTGTCAAGATGACCTGTGTGCCGTAGTTGGGTGGGGGTCTCTGTCTTTCCTGGCATTGTGAAAGACTGAGTCCTCCCTTCCAGCAGGGATCACTGGCTAGGCTGGTGGGGTCCTTGGTGATGGCTGCTTTCTTCTTTTAGCACTGTCCCCAACAGATGGGACAGGGGTCATTCTTTACCTCCTCATGAGAGACATTCTGCTCAGAGAGGAAGTAACATAGCTTATGCTTGACTCTTGGTTTGTTTTCGATCACTGGAATTTTGTATTTAAGAGGTTCCATTTTGCCAGCTCACATTGCGCTACTCCTGGAGTCTCAGATGCATTCTCACCTGAGTTTACGAACCACCAGCCTCAGGAGTCCCTGTTTATTGTCTGCTGTTCACTTGCTTTCTAATTACTTTGGCCCCAAGTTTCAAGATGGTTGCTATGTGAAATCCAAATGGCAATCCTGAAGGGTGTCGCTGGTGATGGATGAGTTCACTGAGTGCCTTCACCAGAGGCAGTCAGGTCTACAGCTGAATTTTTCTGTTGAATAACAAATGGGGATAATTTTGCACTGCAACGATATTACAGTGGTTGTCTTTATGATTAGAGTAACTAACTCCTTGAACATATAATTGAACTCCAAAATGAATTATGCCTCCATTTGGGTTTAATGAAGTTGCCGATATTGTTGAAATTTGTATATTAGTTTGTTTTCTTTTCCCAGTACAAGATCTACTGGTGAGGGGAAATGACTGGTTTTATTATGGTTTATAAATTGATAAATGGGATATTTAATTCTGTACATAAATGTACAGTAAGTACATACACTGGAATAAATGAGACAATCATATTAGACCAAATCATCAAATCAAAAGACAAAAGACATACTTTTGAGAATTGACAGTTCAGAGCTGAGAACGACACCATGAAGGCTGGTTTTCCGACCACCTAATGGCCTGGTCTGCCACCCCCACCCTGCACTCCCACATTCACATTCACAGCTGTTCTCACACTCCTCACCACTGGGCTTTGTGGCAGCAAGTTCCCTTTACCCATTTGTGGTGTGGTCCGGCCTGCAACTCTAACCCAACTCCTTCATTTTACGGAAGGGGAACCTGAGGCTCAGAGGGCATTTTTGAATGGTGTTTTGATCACTGTGTTGACTTGGTGTCAAATTTTTAAGCACCATATTTTAAGTCATTCATCATAGGGACAGTAAAATCCCTATTACAAAGGAGAGAAGCCAGAATATGTTCCAGTGAAGAAGCACTTAGAATCTCTGAATTTTGCTATGTATTTGGCATACATTATGCAACAGGCCCTTTATTACTGCTGGGACGTAACCATCCATACCTGATTGTTAAGGGTCTAACAGCCTGAAGAGCAGAGAACGTTAAATTATTAAAGGATCTGAAAATTGTGAATTCTTTTTTTAATTGTCACCTATTTTTTAAACTTAAATGCTATAGACTGTTCTGTGGGAATGACACTGTATGTTCATTGATGGCATTTACCAAAAATAAATGATGGTGTCCAGGGAATTAAGACTGGTCCCAATTTGTCACTGAGTCTCTTTCTGAGTGACCCTGTCTTCAGTGTGCCCAGCAACAAGGCGAACGAGAGGTAGAAAGAGCAGCTGACTTGGTTCTCCTATCCAGAGTATTGCACCCTGTTTTCCTAAGTCAAATTTAGGACCTGTGTGATTTGTGAATTCATAAGACAGTAGAATAAAACTACAGAAGTCACAACATAACAGTTAATGACATGCCTTTACTGAACAGTATAACATGGAAAACCCAAGAATGTTGTGGCAGCTTGTGCTTATAGAATGTATTTCTGAGGAGTAATGCCTTCTACATGCCAGATGTGGCAGGTTTTCACACAGTTCTTATCCTTTTTGTGTTGTTTTATTATAAATGAAAATGAGGCCCAAGAGGGTGAATTCTTAGAGGCTGGCTCTTTGACCTGTAAGTCAGAGGAGCTGTGTGCTGGGGTGAAGTCACCTGTCTGGGATCACACAGCTGCTTGTCTGCCTCCAAAGCCCATTTCCTCCACATGACTTAGAAACTGTTCCCTTCAGTTGCAGTTAAGGTTGTCAACTGAGCACAAGAGACTCAGGAGGTTTTGGCTAGAAATAAATGACTAAAATCTGTTAGGGTCTTAGGATTTGCAAATGGGAAATACAACTAGGCACTACCCAGAGTGTTCCAAAGAAAGAAGTTCTTACAGTAAAAAGTATTCTTGAAAAGAATTGGTCCTGCATTCTAAGCCTCTGGTCTGGTGTGTGATGGTAACATTCCAGAAGTCATGTGGTTTGGACAATGGATAAGTTTTCCCATGTGCTTCATTCTTTCCTGTGTCTTTCAAAGGGTTATCTGCAGGAATTTATTCATCTCCAGGCATTGATGCAGAACTGAAAAGTCTAAAAGTGTAAGTTCTCAACTACTTAAAGCAAGAATAGAACTGTTTCCTCATGCCTCAGCCTACTTGAGTAATTTAGCAGCTTGGCTATACTGACTCATTTCTTCACTCTTCAAAGGGTATGTTTCTGCTAAAACAACTACCCACATCTTTTTAATTCATACACCTTCTGTCCTGTTCAGTGATTTACTGAGCATTTAATTTGTGCCACGTTCAGGAAACAGACACACAAGCTGACCCTCAGAATCCTCGGTCTGATTTATAGATGCATCACACTGAGTGGCACACAGTTGCTATGTTGGAGGTGCATGAAAAAAAATGTGAAGGAGAGGACCAGGTAGTTATTTGAGAGGCATATGGGAATATTTTGACTTAAATTTATAAATCACAAGGTAATTCTTGTACATTTTGTATTATACATGCCTCATTTAACCATCAGAACCCAAGTGAGATATATTAGCCTTATTTTATAGAGGGAAATAGAACAGCTTAGCCCATGGAGCAGGCCTGGAACCCAGGAGTTCTGACTCCAAGCCCAGGACCCTCTGCCCAGCAGAGAAGCCTCAATAGTGAGCTTTTTTCTTCACCTTTGTCATACACCCCGAAGAGGAGCTGGTGTGATCAAGGGTGTATCCTGTCAGTCCACTTACCTGGACCACATTACTACAGTGAGATCCTTAGGGAACCCTTGTCTGGCTGACCCAAGAGGCTTTGTGGTCTACCACTGCAATTCTAGTGGGACCTCAAGCAACTCTGATGTGGGATATGGTCACTGCCATACGAGTAAGGACCAGCTGTAGTGATGGCCTTATTTTTCAGACATCAAGAATGTGAACTACTCAAGACACTGGAATACCTACTGGTCTCGGGGCAACTCTGGTTTGTTTGGTGACGTGATCAGGTCCAAGGAATGCTCTGTGCTCTGGCATAGGACAGGACCTTTGTTCCCCTATCATTGCTCCTGCTGTGGCTTGAGACTAGTTGACCACATGGGGTTCAGTTACCGCAGAGGATGAGGTGATAGCCACACCAAGCTCTGGCTTTGTTGAGACTACAGACCTGGACATTGGACCTGGATTTCTTCAGCAACTCCCTACTTTTTAAATAACTTTTATTGTCTATATACATTTAAGTTTGAAAAAAACATTAAAGCTACAATGTCAAAATAATAAGATCTGTAGAGAGAACAATTTTCAAAATATATCACTGAGATACATAAATGTGTTTGTGAATACAGTTTATCTCTGAAGTTACAGAAGAAACAACACAGCAGTTGCATCTGGGGAGGGAGCAGGATATATATACATTTTTTTAAAAAAACTTGAATTACAGCAGATATATTATTTTAAAACCTCACCTGAGAACATGTTTGATTTGAGAGGGAAAGGAAGGAAGGGGGAGAGAAACACATCAGTTTGAGAAAGAAACATCCATCAGTTGCCTCTCATCTACACCCTGACCAGGAATCAAACCTACGACCTAGGCATGTGCCCTAACGGGGGATAGAACCCACAGCCTTTGGTGTATGAGACCATGATTCAACCAACTGACCCACCCAGAAAGGGCTGCATGTTATTTTGTAATATGCTTTAACAAAATATGCCAGAAACATTTCCCCATGTTATTAAACATTCTTCCTTGATTTTGTGCGTCCACGCACATGGTGGTGCAGTGTTCTGTTATAAGGAAGCACTACCATTAAGCCCTGGGATAAGTTCACAGTGCACAGTGTAACACACACTTCTGATCTGGGATTCATTCTTCACAGCACATTTGCAGGGCCAAGCAGGCATGCATGTGGTTTTAAACTTCTTTCCATTTTGCTCCTTAGGTAGGTCTCTTCAGCAAGTTCATCTGGCCCAGGGGTATGCAGGTAACTTGTTTAAGTCTTGTTTCCAAGTCCTTGAAGACCACCACTGAAGCAGCCTCTACTGCTTTCTTTTGACTAGGGGATTCTGACTGGCTCACTGAAATGAGCCTGCGTTAGGCCCTGTGATGCTTAAATTTTCAGTCTCAGATAAATGCATTTTAAACACTGCTAAATGAATCATGAATGGAGTGGTCATGAGTGTACAATCTTTCTGGGAAGCAACTGAGGAATTACCAGTATTAAATGTGCACACCCTTACATTAACCACAATATTTGTCAGGTCCGGCACAAATAACCCCCTTTTTATTACAAACTCTTTTATTACAAAATCATAAGCATGTCATTCTGTAACATAAAAATATTAGGCTCAAGCATACCATATGATATTTTAGGTGAAATGTTCAAATCACTGTCCATCTTGTACGAGACATTCATGTGCCCTACCAACCACAAACAGGCATTGCTTCTGCTGTATACTAAGTTATGTTATGCTATATACTGCTATACATACTACTACATACTACAACATTTTTAAAAGTTGTTTAAAATGGAGCCAACCCAAGAGACTCCATAGTCTGGCTTCAATAAGTTACCATACATCCACACCACAGAGTCACATGCAGTCATTAAAAAGTGACAATACAAATGCATTAACTTGTTTTAGTTCACCTGTTAATCTGAAAAATGCTGTGTATCTTCAATTCACAAAAATGCAAGTATGTATGATACTGTGCTGTTTCTGAAGTTCATCTGTGGCTGATCACAAGTTAAAACTTCTTGATGCAGACCTTTACTAGCATGAAAAAATGCCCACACTATCCAAATTACTGAGCATCACAACTGGAGTGTTTGTGTTCGTTTGGATGCCTCCAGACTACGTGATAACCTTACCAGTGAGGCCCTGCCCTCCTCCCTTATCAAGGTCTCAGCACTCTGTTGTTTTCTTTAACAACGCTTTTGTTGTATGTTTACTGATTTAAGGGTCTCTGATGCCTCCCTTCCTGCCCCATAGACTGTGGACTCCTAAGAGCAGAGCTTAGATTTGATTTGTTCATCCACAAGCCATGTCCAGCCCCCATTTCTGTGAACCAAAACCAGGCTTTACAAGTGAAGATTTGTAATCAACTGATGACAGGAAAGACTAACTTGGAATCCAAAAAAACATTTCATTCTTTTCATTAATAGACCTGTGTTTTAAAAGCCATACTTGATAACATTTTGAATTCCCTTAGTAAAAAAGTTATAGACATTTTTCTCTTGGGTTATGAAAGTACCTACATAGTATCCTCTATTTTGCCTCTTGCCCACAAAGCCTAAAATATTTGCTATCTGGCCCTTTATAGAAGTCTGTTGACCCCTGGCCTAAAGCATTATCTGCCACACAGGAGGCAATCCCTAAGAGTCAAAGGGAGACATTTTGTATGAGGGTCAGGTGACAGGGGATATCCACAGTCTGCCTTAGTTTGCTGCTCTTTATCTTCCCCCACAATCAGCACGGGTTGACTTCATCCTCCGAGGACGAAAAACGAGCCACATACTAAAGCTGACAAGTTCAGGGGAGGCCAGCATGGCAGCCTTACAAACTCAAGAGACTGAAAAGTAACCTCATACGATGATCTGAACGTAAAAATTTCTAAGTAAAGGCAGGTCATGGCAGGTAATTATGCCCCAGACCTGTCGCTTCCTTGTCAAAGGTCAATGTTTAGCTTAAGGGAGCCTATTACCTTTTTGCATCTAAGATAACAAACATTTGAAATGTCAGAATAACCTTTTACAGATCCCACAGGACAAGACTACACCACCATGAGCCCACAGAACTCCTGTTATCTTGTTCCCGCATACCATCTCGCTGTGCTATAAACGTTAAATGTCCTGTATCTATCAATGTAAAAGTATGTGTTTCTCTAGTTTGCCTTTTTATCCAATCCCAGATATCTACTCCGACTCCACTTTGCTTTCTCCCGCCCCCTTAATCTACCACCAGTGGTTTACATGTAACCCTCCTTACCTCTCCTCCATTTTTCAACGTATAAAATAAGCTGCCAAGCTGCCATTCTCCAGAATATTTTTCTCAAATTTTTTGAGATTTTGTTTCCGGCAACTGTCCATTTTGTCCAAATTCATAAAAATTCTCTACAACTCTGGACGTTTCTTACGTCCACACTCGCTTTAGAAGGAATATCATTGTTCCTTTCAGGAAGGTGGACAGTCTTGCAGCGCAGGCACCGAGAGTCGTGGGTACTCCTTCCAGGTAACCTCGAACGACTGCCCGGAAGCCACCAGAGCCCTACAGGAGCGTCTCAGGCCGGCGGGAGTGGGAAGTCCCCACCCCAAAGTCTTCCAGTGCTTGTGGCCCCTATCACGGTTGGGTCCTGCGAAAGAAACTGAGCGCGAGGATCTTCGAAACCTCACTAAGTCCAGTTCGATCCTCGCCAAGCCCGGCGCCTCCGGATACTGCTTCTGCAACGAGACTGGCCTCGGAGCCTCCCGGACTCACCTCACCTCACAGTCTCTTCACTGCAGCTCCCCCTGAGAAAGAAATGCAGGTCCTAACCCAGGCAACAATTCTGCACTCACGAAGCACCGCGGGGAACGCGGCCCACCAGGGCTGCAAACGTGAGGAGGGGAGGAGCCCCGGCAAGAAATAACGGCCGCCCAGGCAGTTCCAGGTGTTCCGGGGCGGTGGGCGACAGAAGACCATTCCGCGCATGTGCAAGAAGGCCTCTGCGCCTGCGCATCGCCAGCCCCTCCCGCGTGCAGGCTACGCGCGGCTTCTTCCCGCCCGCCTCCTGCCCTCACTTCCGGGGTTTCCCGGCAGCGGCCGTAAGTGGCGGGAGGAAGCAGCTCACGAGGCCCGCCGTAAACGGCTCCCTCGCGCCACTTCCGGCCGGCTTCTGCAGACGGCGCTGGTAGGGGAACGAGAGGCGCCGGAGGTCGTTCTTGGCGGCAGGAGCCATGGAGATGCCTCTGCCACCCGATGGTGAGGCCCAGCCGGGGTTTAGAGACCGTTTCTCTGTCCCCCGAATACCCTGTTTGCGTACCCCGCCTCCCGGGGCCCGCGGGCCTTGGAGGGGGCGGGGCTCGGCCTCTCGGGTTTGCCTGCGGCCTCTCCCGCTGGTCCTCGCATTCCCGGCGCGCTTGTGGTCCCTATCAGGATCCGTACAAGGGCGGCCTCTGTGGGGCCCACCCCTAGGGACCCCGACCTGGCGGACAGCGGCTAGTACGGCAGGGCTCCCGGATTTGGGCGGTCCTCGCTGACGCCCCGCGTGGCCTTTTTCTCCGTTCTCTAGACCAGGAGCTTCGAAATGTCATCGATAAGCTGGCCCAGTTTGTTGCTCGCAACGGGCCCGAGTTTGAGAAGATGACGATGGAGAAGCAGAAGGACAACCCGAAATTCTCGTTTCTGTTCGGAGGCGAGTTCTACAGTTACTACAAGTGCAAGCTGGCCCTCGAACAGCAGCAGCGTGAGTCCTCTCCAGCTCTCTGGCCGCACCCTCGAGCGATTCCCTTCTCTGATTCCAGTGCGGCTCTGCTACAAACCGCCTTCTTTTGGTCGCATGCTCTTTGAAAACGGGGCCTCTCGGCCTTCGTGATCCCATCTGCTGTTCTTAGGCTTGCAGCGAGCGGTTGCTGAGTCGGAGTGTAATACAGAACGAGGTTATCGATCTTCCTCTGGGCTTAGGATCAGGGATTTTTCTGTTGTGCAGATGTGATGACTGAGGTCAGCAGAAGTGGAGTGAGTGCTTCAGTGTTTTCCAGGAAGGACATGATAGAGGCTTGCCGAGGACTCTTTTCAGGCACTGCCCAGCCCCCTTTGTGGGTTCTTCCTGGGTACAGCTAGGTTTTTGTGCGTTTCAGTTGCTTGCAGTCCAAATCAAAAGGAACCGTCCCTCTAGGTTTTGGTTCTTGGCTGATTGATGTTTATTGGTGTTCACTGAGTTGGGCATCAGGGCTCTGGTCCTGCCCTCAAAGAGTTTAAGGTGGAGTTAGGAATCACAGCTGTCACTTGGATGATAAATAGCCACCGGATAGTAAGGTACCACATTTGTTTTGTACGGTAGTGAATCCTTAGCTTCTAAATATGTTGTTTAAGTAAGTAGGGGATTGTCTAGTTAATAGCCATTGAAAGCTAAATGTAGCCTGTACTACAAGCACCAGCTTTTGTTTTGGATCATTGCTGTTCCCTAATATGTAGTATGTAGTACTTTATTTGGTTCAATAAAGAACTTGTAAGAAACTGCAAAGGTGCAGTGATTTGAACAGGCCTGGTTCAAGTATCCGTGGGAAAAACCACAAGAGTCCCAGCATGGCTGGAGTGTAGAACATGTGTGGAGGGGGTAAGCATTTGGTCTGGAGTGGAAATGCCAGGACAATGTTTGGGTTTTTTCCCTCATTTCAGGGGTTCTTCTGCCTAGTTATGTTTGAGGTGGTGGTGAGGGAGAGCAGCTCCCTGAAATTGTAGACAAATGTTGTATGTGCTTATGTGTTTCTGGAGCAATCACTCCTTAGCTTTGGCCCACCAAATTTAAAACCCCTTCCACAGGCAGTGAAGCCACAAGGGAGTTTGAAACAAAGGAGACCTGAGTCAGGTTCTTGTGGCCAGTGTGGCAAGGCTGGAGGGAGCAGAAGTGGAGGCTAGGACCACTGAGGCTAGAAGGGGAGTGAACAGGGCATTTGATGGTAAGAACTGGATTAGGTCAGTGGGTTGAGTCTAAGGGACTGGGACTGGGGGGCAGGTGGGGTTAAGGGGTTGAATTTGTGAACTGGGGCACCAGGTGGATCTTGTTGGCATAACCAGGCAGTGGGGAGACAGTGCTTTGGCTGGTGTGACCAGGGGGTGAGTGCTGCTTCCTTTGCCAGGGGAGCCCACTCACTTCACCCTGCAGGGTCAGATATCCAGAACGGCTTGGGACTTGGTGCATTAACCCAGGAGGGATAGCGTGCTTCTAACAGGGGAAGGTTGGGACTCATGAAGTGCTTTCTGCAGGTAACAATACCTAGCTGGAATTAAAGAAGGTATCAGTTAACCAGATGGGAACTGACGGGAGAAGGGTGTTCAGCAGAGGAAAGTGCCTTAGGAGGGGCTGGGGAATGGAGGGGACAAAAACTGACGCTCCGAGAAGGAGGGCTTCTTAGAGTGTCCCAAAGTGGGGATGCAGAGTAAGGAGAGCTGGCTTGCCAGGATTTTCCTGGGATCCGTGGAAGTCTCTTGGAGGGTTGGTTTCAGGTCTGTGTTCTGGAGCAGCATTAGCCACTGTACAGACTGAGGCCCAGGACTGTTCTAGAATGGCATTTTACAAACTTTGGTGAAAGACCAGTTTTTGTTTTTTTAAATCTACACCCCATTGTAGAAACTACACTTTTGCAAAATACAGTAAAAACGTGAGCTATAAAATGTCAAGTTACTGTAAAGACTCCAAATCCTCCCTTACTCTTTCTGTGTTGGCTTAGCCTTGGTAGTGCCTGACCAGTCCTCAGACCACACTTTGAGCAGCAGCGCTGTAGTTGCCATGTGGAGGAGAGGCAGGGGGGCAGGACTGGATGCAGGGGGCGCACTTTAAAGGGCAATGTGAGTGACAGCAAAGTTTGCTAGTGACAGCAGGGACACAGAGAGACCAGCATGTGATCTAGGGAGCTGACTTGACAGCACAGGTTGACTTGTTAGTGTGAGGTGCAAGGGAAAGAGGAGGGTATGTGCCTTGTAGTCTTCTGGCTTGGGTATGTGGACATAGCAGTACCAGCCACAGAGGTCAGGAGTAGGCCTGGTAGGGGTGGAGGAAGAGGAAATGTGGGCCCGTGTGAGGTGCCCATGGGAAGACATAGGCTGTTTGAGCTGTAAGGTCCAAAGCTCAGGAATCCAGGAAGGACACCATAGATTTCGGAATCACGGTGTGCAGATGGTAATTGCAGCCACAGGAACATAGCCGATTGCCCTGGGGGCTCTAGAGGGAAGACAGCTCTGGCATCCCAGCATTTAAGGGTTGAAGAGAAAGGGGCCAAGGGGGCAGCCACATAGGCCAAGTGAGACCAGAGTTGTGGGGATAGTGGGGGTGTGGGGGGGCACAACCGGACTTGCCCTGGGCTGAGATAGATGAATTGAGGTAGAATCTTGGCTGTAAAATTGTTGAAAGGGAAGCAGGGGATTAAGGGGGTGTTAAGACATAAGACAGGTTTAGGTGCTGCTGGGAGTAGTCAGTAAAGAGGGAGGAAATGGAGAGACTGCGAGAACAGGTTTGCTAAAGAAGTGTCTTTGGGAGGACAGAAGAGGGTGTCCAGAGGCAAGTCGAGGAAGTCGTCCCAGAGGGTGTCCTTGGGTGCGAACACTAGAAGGCTCATCAGGCATAAGAAGTGACTGGGAGCCCCATGATTGGCCCGGCCCACACCTTCCACCCCATTTGCCTGTCTTTGTCCAGAGGCCAGGCCCCCTTGGGGTGGGACTCAGGAGGGCTCATGGTCATGTTCAGACTAGACAGTGGTTCCAATGGGGAGACTATTTTGTCCAGCGACCCTCCACATCGGAAACCCTGCCGTCCAGATTTCTATCCCTTCTCATCTGGCCAGATTTGGGGCACATACCCACCTGACTCAGGCTCCTGTCAGCAGGATGGGTATCCCACACTGGCTGAACCTGGATTGACTCCGGAAGTCTCTTGCCAAGGAGTCTGTTCCCCCCGAGTCAGGATCAAGAAACTAGGGGCTGGGGTGGTGGGCCACAGCCTGTGCTTGGGGGTAGTGGGCTGCTCCTGCTGTGGGACCTCAGGTTTTTAGACTTGCTAGCCAGAGGTCACGTGGCTTTGATGTCCTGAAATTGAAGAGTAGATTAGGGGATAGTAGCAGAGGAGGCTGGGGGACTAGGGGAGACACCCTTCGGGGCACGGCTGTGGCCTAGATTTAGTATCAGTTCAGGCCTAGGTGAGGTGAAGAGGGTGGAGGGGGATGAGCTTGGGCTTGGTCTATGTCAAAGAACACTGGGCAAGATAGATGGTGTTGGCCGGAGTGGCAAGGTTATAGTTCTGAGGTCTCCTGGGAGAGGACCGGTTCAGAGGTGGTAGATGGGACCATGGAAGGAGGCTGGGTCTGGGCTCTGGGGAAATGGGGGCAGGTCGGGAGGGCCCAGCTGCAAGTGAGGGGAGCCTGGCAGACTTTGGTAGGGGTGGCTGAGGCGGACTGTGGTGGTAGCACAGCACAGAAGTCTTTCGTGGGTGGTAAGTGTAAGGAGGGGAGCCCCTCTGGCCTAGAGCTGCCCAGATGGCAGCCAAGGGATCAGCTAGACCCCAGCTGCTTTCTCATGAGGCCACCTTTCCTCCTTTCCTGCCAGTCATCTGCAAGCAGCAGGCCCCAGAGCTGGAGCCAGCCACAGCCCTGCCACCCCTCACGCAGCCCCCACTAGCCCCTGCTGCACCCATCCCACCTGCCCAGGGAGCCCCGTCCATGGATGAGCTCATCCAGCAGAGCCAGTGGAACCTGCAGCAGCAGGAGCAGCACCTGCTGGCCCTCAGACAGGTACGGGGCCTGCTTCTCCTCTTCCCTCCCACTCCACCACCCCTGAGACCAATGCTCTGAGTAAGCCTAGGGCCCTCCCCTTCTCTTTAGTCCTCATCTGGGTGTCTGGGGCTTACTCCTGTGCCTCAGTTTTTGTATCTGCACCCTGGGATTCACAGTTGCTCTCAAGAGGACTCATTATCAAGCATCAACGCTGAGGACAGTGCTGCCCAGTGCTCAGAGATGCTCCAGTGCTGCCACCACCCCTGGTGTGTTTAGCCCAACCACTGACTCTGGACAGAGGTTGCCTCTCACTCCAGTAAAATGACTGCTCAAGCTGTTTGCTGGGGTGGACACCTGTGAGTGGGACTGCACATTAGAAATTGTGAGTGCCGGTTGGTCTCTAGTACCATTGGCAACAGTTCTTCCTAGCCAGATCATTCCAAGCTGTTGTGGGAAGGACCCTTCTGTCCCAATCCATCAGTTCTGATACTTTGGCCAAGTACAATAGGATAAATCACCAGGAAAGTGAGATAAATAAAAACTAAGACAACTGAAACACCAGCCCCAATTTTATTAATTAGATTTAAGATTACTGTCGTACTGCTGACTAGAAAACATGCCAGATCACATACCCTGTTTCTGGATGGAGCACCTCATAGGCTGGAGGGTCTGTCCTCCACCAGTCCTGAGCAGACTGCCTGTCCCCACAGCGGTGCTGGGTCCCAGTGGTCCCTTCGTTTCCTGATCTAATGGGTGGAACTCTGGCATCTTGTTTTAATTTCCAATTTCCTGGTTGCTAGTGAGGTTGTTCTCCTTTCTCCTCACTAGGGACCATTTATACATCCTGTCTGTCCACATTGTTGCTCACTTTTCTTTCCTTTTGTGTTGAATTGGCTGCAGAGATTCCTTGTTCTGCTGTGTTTTAACCACTCCATCTGTCACCTGGAGGGTGGGGGGCAGACATTGTCTTTCCGTGTCTTACCTCATTCTGTGCTCTGCCCGCTCTGCTGGCCATGGCCATGGCTGCCCCAGGTGCGGGTCTGACACTGCAGACGTGAGGGACAGAGCCTCCTAGTGCTGTGGTGGGGCACTGATGGGCAGTCTTGGTCCCACCTGACCCTCTCAGGAGCAGGTGACAGCGGCGGTGGCCCATGCAGTGGAGCAGCAGATGCAGAAGCTCCTGGAGGAGACCCAGTTGGACATGAATGAGTTTGATAACCTGCTGCAGCCCATCATTGACACGTGCACCAAAGACGCCATCTCGGTGAGGGCTGGTGGGCTCAGTGCTGCTGACAGGTGGGAGCCCACCGAAGTCTGTCTGGGCTGGGACTCCTGTAGGGGTGCCTTGTCTGCTACTGCCCTTCCCTCCTAAGTACCTCCAAGAGGGAGAAGGCAGGCAGGCAGAGGCTATAGCATGCAGCCAAGCCCTTGGGTACCACACCTCAGCTGTGCTCTGACCTCCCTGGGTACCTTGCCCACGCTCTGGCTGGGGGAGCCCAGCCCTGCTCACCCATCGCTCTGGCCATTGCAGGCCGGGAAGAACTGGATGTTCAGCAATGCTAAGTCCCCTCCACACTGTGAGCTGATGGCGGGCCACCTCCGGAACCGCATCACAGCTGATGGGGCGCACTTTGAGCTGCGGCTGCACCTCATCTACCTGATCAATGATGTGCTGCACCACTGGTAAGGGCCCCCAGGTCCAGCTCACCTCGCCCTCCAGCCCTGTCATGGCCACTGTTTTTCACTTGGTAGCTTGGCCTGTTCCAGGACAGGAGACCCTGGGGGAGGGTCAATCCAGGTCATAAGCACCTCCCCCACACCCACCCACACACACCTCGGCCCATTCCCAGACCCCTCACCTTACCTAGGGCCACCGTTTCTTGTCTCCTTGCTCTCTTGCGGCAGCTTCTACAGTCTCTTATCATTTCTCTGTTGGCTGTCAGCTGCCCCTCAGTGATACGCATACACACCTCCAGTCACCTAACTGCCCTGCTTCAGGGCTCTTGATGCCAGGTTCCCCTTGCTGACTATCGCACACCACCGAGACCAGCCTCCCATCCCCAGAGCCCTCCCCAGGCCAGACCAGTGTTTACATCTGCGCCTCCTTGGGGCCTTACAACAAAGGTTAACTTAAGGAACCAGATGCCTGAGCCATCACAGGCCACGGGAGGAGACAGGCAGAAGGAGACAGTGCTAGTGAGGCTGGTGTGTGGCTGCCATGTTTGGCTTTGAGCTTGGTCAGCTGAAGGGTTTGGTGCCAGTGAGGGCAGCAGAAACCGACCTGCCTGCCTTGGTCCTTTGCCTTGTCCTGTCTGCCACTGCATGTGCATCCTGGGTGCTTTCCCTCCCCACCCCCCACTCAGTCACTGCCTACCTTGTTGTTCCCTTAGTTCTCTGGTGTGGGGAAATAGGCAGCTGCCCAGAACCTTCCCCACCTTCCTGCTTTACCCACTGCTCTTCTGACTTCAGGGAAACTCTGCAGAGATAGCCCTGTCCTGCCTGTCCTCCCACCTGGACCGCCCTCCCTCCCCTGACCCCAGGCACTCCATCCTGTCTGTGAGCTCCCTCTGGTGAGCTCGGTGTTGGGAGGGGTTTCAGCTACTCGCCATCTGCCTCGTGTCCTCCCTGGGAAGCAGCAGATATGCCACCTGGGTTCTGTCACCGCCACACTGGGGGCCCTGTGCCACCTCAGTGTATAGCTGCCAGGGCTTCTACACCCATTTATGCACAGAGTGTGGAAGAATGTGGGAGTAGGCTGCCTTGCCCGGCCAGCATCGAGTCCCCAACGCAGGGCACACTCCTGCTTCCTGAAATGTGGGGGCCGGGTTGGGGGGCTTTTGTGCACAGGGGATAGCAGTGCTCAGCAAGGCCACATAGACAAGTCCCTGAGCCCACAGCAGCCCTGGCTGGTCCTTTGTGGACAGTGGGGGCTCTTATAGACCCTGTATCTATCCATGGTCATGCCACCCCAGGAAGGAAGGATTATCTTACTGATAAGCAGACCAGGGTGACAGGCTTTGCTCTGAATGTCCCCAGCCTGTGATTTTTTTTCCTTTTCCTACTGCTTTCTATCTGTCAGTTGGGCCCAACTGCCAGCACAGGTCTTGTGGGAAGCCCAGCCCTTGTCCCAGCTGGGTTGGGGGCCCGTTCCCTGAGAAGGCAGAGGGTGCTATGGCTGGAGCCGCGATGGTAACGGGCGCGTGGCCGGGTCCCGCCCCAGGGCCCTGATGCGCGGAAGGTCTCTCCCTCACAGCCAGCGCAAGCAGGCCAGGGAGCTGCTGGCCGCCCTGCAGAAGGTTGTGGTGCCCATCTACTGCACCAGCTTCTTGGCCGTGGAGGAAGACAAGCAGCAAAAGATTGCCCGGGTATGTGGTATAGCCTGGAGGGTGAGGTGGGCAGGGGCTGGTCATGTTGTTTCCCCAATGTGACCCCTCGTCCTCCCCACATCCAGCTCCTGCAGCTGTGGGAGAAGAACGGCTACTTTGACGACTCCATCATCCAGCAGTTGCAGAGCCCAGCCCTGGGGCTCAGCCAGTACCAGGTGAGTGTTGCTACCTCTCAAACCACACTCCTGGGCCAAGCCAGACGCCACCCCAACAGTTTTTAGAAGTCAGGGGGCTCATCTCTCCAACCTGGGCTGGAAGCAGCTGATGGAATGGTGGCTTCGGATCCCACGTGTGCCTCTGGTGAACATTGGGGGCTGAGGTCTGAGCAACAGCCTTGGGGGCCCCTGTCCCACGTGCAGTGAGGGGCAGACCCTCCCAGGTGAGACTTGCGGGTGTGCTTGTGACCCAGTTCCCAGTTTCAGCCCTGCTCTCAGGGTGTCACTAGCCTATTTGTGCCGGTCCTCCAGGTGTCTACTCACCTGACGGGGACGTGAGCAGATCCCAGTGTAGTCTAGGCTGCTGCAGCCATCACCGTGTGCAGTTGGTGCTCCTTGTTCACATGTCTGCCTTTGCCCAGAACACAGGCGCAGGGTGAGGAGGGACTTCCTGGTCCCTTCTGCCATGGTGCCAGCATCACTGCCCCATACACAGCTGCTGGAATAAAAAGCACTTCTCTTGGGCCGGAAGGCCTGGTTGAACATCGGGTGCTGTGTGCAGGCTGCTTTCCTCGGCAGTGGTCCTGAACACCATCCCTCCAACAGGGCACAGGCTCTTGCTCAGAAACAAACGAGGAAAGTGCACTTCATACTTTCTCTACTAAAAATGGACTGTTACCACCACCCAACAATTATGCCGACTGCCTTTTTTCCTCCCAAGTTTACAATAGCAGCTCACGATTACTGAGCTCCTCCTTATTAGTCCCTTTCCATGTGTTAGTCACCAACTCCTCCCTGAAGTCCTTGAAAGTTCATCTCAATGTTGTACCATTTTGCAGATGAGAAAAATTGTGGCTCAGAGACTTGGTGACTCGTTCAAAGCCAGACAGCGAATGAGCGTGTCCCAGAATGTTTGTCAGCAACATGTGTTTAAAGTCTGTGTGGCCACCCAGAGCACAGCTGTCACTGCCGGGTTCCATTATCAAGGAATTCTAAACTGCACTGCGTATCACCAAGGGTTTAGCTAGGTTCAGATGCTCTGGTTGTCAAGACCAAGTTGATTGTTTTACATGAAAGTCACCTGCCTGCCTTGCTGCCCACGGCAGCACCCCAGCTTCCCAGTGCTTTCCCAGCATTTGTCCCCATTGTGCTGCCGAAGGGGTGGGCCCCGGGGCCTGAGCCCTGAGTACTAGCTGCCCTTCTCTCTGCCAGGCCACGCTCATCAACGAGTACTCCTCAGTCGTCCAGCCAGTGCAGCTGGCCTTCCAGCAGCAGATACAGACCCTCAAGACGCAGCATGAGGAGTTTGTCAACAGCTTGGCCCAGCAGCAGCAGCAGCAGCAGCAGCAGCAGCAACAGCAACAACAGCAGCAGATCCAGATGCCACAAATGGAAGCCGAAGTCAAGGCCACGCCACCACCACCTGCCCCGCCGCCGGCCCCCACGCCTACCCCAGCCATCCCACCAACTACCCAGCCCGGTATGTGGCCCCCTCTGCACCCACCCTTGGGGACCAGCCCCAGAAAGCAGCCTCCCACACCCGCCCCACCCCAAGAGAAGGGCTCTGATTATATAGTCGCAGGCCAGATTCTAATCAGTTTAGAGTGCCAGGCTGGGGGACTTCACATTTAAGTGTAACAGAACTTTTACAACTCAGACAGTTCTCCTGTCTGAGCTGTCCCAGAGTACAAGCAGGGGGAAGGGGCCCAAATCGTTCTCCAGGACCAGGGTGACTTCTCATTGGATGGGCAGGGCCAGGGCAGGAGTTGAAATACAATCCCCTTGAAAATACAGTGTCCCCTCTAAATGAAGATGTGAAAATACTAAACAAAAACTTAACGAGTAAAATCCAGTCAAGTATTTTTAAAATATATTATGATCAAAAAGAACATGCCCCAGGAATGCACAAGGATGGTTTAACACTAAAAATCTAATGAAATAACAGATCAGATGAGAGGAAGTGATCTTTCAGCCCAATTCAAAAATGTCAGTAAAACTCATCGACGATAAAATTCCTCAACAAACTAAAATTGACGCAGCAGGCCTGAGGCCCTTGTAGAACTCTCAGAAGGGAACGTGTGTCCTATGTGGGGCAGTCTCCCTTCTGCTGCTGCCTTTCCAGTGGTGACTAGTGCTCAGTGGGGTCACGAAGCCTGGATTTATCGGGAAGTAAACACCCAGCCTGGGCTGCCTGGGTGTTTGCTGAAGAGTGTTTGGGGTGGGGCCTTTTGCTGCCGGGGCCTCTGCTAACTGCCTTCTTGCCTCGCTCCAGATGACAACAAGCCTCCCATCCAAATGCCCGGCTCCTCTGATTACGACGCCTCGGGAGGGGTCCAAGACCCTGCAGCCACTGGCCCCCGGGGCCCTGGGCCCCACGACCAGATCCCGCCCAACAAACCCCCCTGGTTTGACCAGCCTCACCCTGTTGCTCCTTGGGGTCAACAGCAGGTATTTCTTCTCCTTCTCTGGTGCTTTGATCATTTGGGGTTCTCAGTAACAGGTCCCCGTTTTCCTGTGAGTGCTGGGAAAGTCCACAGAGTTAAGTACAAGATGGTGTTCCCTTTCCTTCCCTTTTTTTGACTGGTTCAACTAGCAGAGTGTCCACATTTTGTCACACTGGAAAGAACATTCTGGTTTTATAAGGAAAGGGAAGGTCACCACAAGTATCAGGCTGGCAGCATTTTCCGGGGCTGAGATACTGGTCACTTCCTTCTGTTTCCTTGGGGTCAGAAACTTCTAGGTCAGGGCAGGGGTCATCTTATCCAGCATAGCATGACTGGGAGGCCCCCAAGAACAGGGTCCCCTCACCGAGGTTCTGCCCTGGTTTGGCAGTCCACTGTCAGCTATGGCCTAGCAATGCACTTGGCCAGCCTGCCCGTGTGGTGTCTTACACATTTTTAGATAGTTGCCATATTTAAAATCTGTTTTCCTGGCTTCCTGCGGGTGTGGTAGCCTGGGCTGGCCTCTCCATGTTGGTGGTCAGTGGAGCTAACCAACCATGACCCTAGAGGTGGGCCTTCCGGTCAGCCTCATCTGGACACATCCTTCCCTGGCTCTGAGTTTGGGTTGCAGTCCAGCTCTAAGTCTTCAGAGCAGCAGCTGGGTGAGACTGGAGCTATATTGTCTTCATTCTACAGAAACGTGTCCTGGGGTGTGCTCCAGAGCACACCCTGAGGCAGGATTTGAGGGTGACAGTTGATGTGGGAGATAACCCAGGAGAGGAGGCAGCACAGGGTAGAGGGAAGTTATAAAAGGGGGTGTCTTCAGGGTAGGAGGCCACCATGGGCCCTTGGAGTTCAGTCATTCCACATGCTCTGGGTATGGTGGAGGAGGCACCTCTGCACAGTGCGCTGAGGGGTAGGCGGGGTCCAGAGCCCCTGTTCGTGGGGCTTACGTACTGACCCAAAAGAAGTTCTCAGCCAAGATCTGGGTGCAGCATTTGGGAGTCAGGTTATCTGCATGGACATGAGGGGCCAATGGTGGGGCAGGTACCACAGCACCCACTGCAGATGTCAGTCAGCGAGGCACCATGGTCTGCCCAGGGCAGCGCCCAGTGGACCATCAGCATGCAGCACCAGGCAGTGCGGAGGCCAGATGTCTGTAGGGTGCTGGATGAGCCTCATGAGTGGCTTATCTCTGCTCTTTGTCTTGCAGCCTCCTGAGCAGCCCCCCTACCCACACCACCAGGGCGGGCCACCCCACTGCCCGCCTTGGAACAACAGCCACGAGGGCATGTGGGGTGAGCAGCGCGGGGACCCAGGCTGGAACGGCCAGCGTGACGCACCCTGGAACAGCCAGCCCGACCCCAACTGGAATAGCCAGTTTGAGGGCCCCTGGAACAACCAGCACGAGCAGCCACCCTGGGGTAGCGGCCAGCGAGAGCCACCCTTCCGCATGCAGCGGCCGCCACACTTCCGTGGGCCCTTCCCACCCCATCAGCAGCACCCACAATTCAACCAGCCGCCACACCCCCACAACTTCAACCGCTTCCCACCCCGCTTCATGCAGGATGACTTCCCCCCGAGGCACCCCTTCGAGCGGCCACCCTATCCTCACCGCTTTGACTATCCCCAGGGGGACTTCCCTGCTGGTGAGTGCTCTGCCAGTTCAGAGGCCCAGTGCACACAGCCCTCTCTTGCCCCTGGTTCCTGGAGAAGTCCAAGTTGCCTGCCTGAAGGAGGTGCTTAACAGATCTGCCTCCTGAGCATGCTGATGGCACTGCTCTCTGTCCTGGGTGTGTACCTGATGAGTCTAGGTCACATCCGAGTCATGTGATGACAGGCGAACAGCCTGGCAACTCAGGTGTCGGCAACAACCACACACCGGGCTGTGGAGGTGTAACCTCCTGGTCCCTCTCCCCACACTCCCGGAACAGCACTCCATCTGTCTGTCCTGCAGAGAAGGGAGCACAGACTCCAGAAGGAAAAATAACCCCTGAGGGCCCAAAGCAGCAGGCGGTCGGCAGGCACCGAATCCGGGCCCATGCTGCTGTCATGGGGTTGCTTCCCGGTTCCTTGTCTGAGTTTTTATCAGTTTCTCTGCTTACTGGTTTTTTTTTGTTTTTTTTTTTAAGAACTTTACTTTTGTTCATTTTTTCTTTTTAAAATAATTTCATTCCTAATGTATTACTGCTTCTACTTTTATTTAAATTTTTTTAATTTATTGATTTTAGAGAATGGAAGGGAGAGAGACATCAATTTGTTGTCCCACTTTATGCATTCATTGGTTGGTTCTTGTATGTGCCCTGACCAAGGATCAAACCCACAACCTTGGTGTATTGGGACAGTGCTCTAACCAACTGAGTTAACAGGCCAGGGTGCCTCTACCTTTATTTTTACATCCATCCTTGGTTATACCAGTTAAGCTCAGAGATCACTTAGCACTTTCATTGTTGGGTTAACACCCCGGGATGGCATGGCAGAGGCCCACAGACTGGGTGGCTCCAACAGCGGGCACTGACTGATTCCTGGTGGAGATAGGGTTAGTTCTGGAGCCTTGCTCCTGCGTTTGTAGATAGCCATCTTCTCCGTGTCCTCACGTGGTTGCCCCATCTGCCTGTCTGCCAAAATCTTAAGTCACACTGGATCAGGACCCATCCATATGAATTTACTTTAAGGTAATTACCTCTTTAAAGGTTCTGTCTCCAAATGCAGTCACATTCTGAGGTACTGAGAGTTAGGACTGGTGAATTGGGGGGTGGGGGGTACAGTTCAGCCTGTAACCTTGCTGTTTGAAGGCTCTGTGATTTCCCTGTGGTTCCTTAACCTGTGAGGTCCATCAGGTGCTGCTGCAGGTACAGGACAGGCCCCTCCAAGCTGAGTCTCGCCTCCTCCCTCCCGTGCTGTATTGCCTAAGGAGTGAGTGAAGCAGTGGTAGAAAAGGTGCCAGGCAGGGCTGCCCAGAAAGGTATTGGCATCTTTGCCTCTTTCTGAGCCCCTTTCTGCTGACATTTGTCACCTAGGGGACTATGCCTGAGCCCTTGGCACTGCCCAGCTCATAACTTCTCTGTAAGCCTGAGACGTTTTTGTTTTGCAGAGATGGGACCCCCTCACCACCACCCTGGCCACCGCATGCCACATCCTGGGATCAATGAGCACCCACCTTGGGGGGGCCCCCAGCACCCCGACTTTGGCCCTCCTCCCCATGGCTTCAATGGACAACCCCCCCACATGAGGCGACAGGGCCCTCCCCACATCAACCATGATGACCCCAGTCTGGTCCCCAACGTTCCCTACTTTGACCTCCCCGCCGGGCTGATGGCCCCTCTTGTGAAGGTAAGGTCTGTGGTAAGTGCCAAGTTTAGCAGCACATGCTCAAGCCGGTGCCTGTCTCCATGTGAAAAGTCCACAGGTGGAACCCATTTCCCATAGGTTGCAAAACAGTGCTTCCCAGACTACTTCCCTTCTCATTTTCCGCTTCCTGGTGAACTTTTGACCAAGCCGGTGAGAATGCACCTGTGCCAGCAAGGCCCATGCTGCTTTGCTCCCTCTGCACCTCCCTCCTGGTGCTGAAAGTTTGGTGCCACTTGGAGCCGGCTGGGTTGCACATGATGGTACAAGGGTTTTTCAAGAAAGGGGTGGCCTCTGAGGTGTGCCCTCGGGGAACTCGGGAATCTGCAGAGGTGGGGTAGGGCATGTGAAGGGTGAACTGAGCAAGGGGTTGGGGCTCCAGGGGCCCTGCTGGTCACTGCCCCTTCCCATGCCCTCTGAGCCACCACAGACTATATACAAGTAGGGAAGAGTCCATCAGGGTGCAGGGAGAGGTAGAGGCAAAAGGGCAAATGAATGGGGAGCTGTTACTGAGAAGGGGCTCCGGGGTCCTGCTGAAGCTGTGGTGGCTGTGGGAGGGCCTGCAAGGGAGAGGACGGGGTGTGGGGTAGGAAGTTGGGGCACGGGGTAGCATCTGCAGACAGGGCATCCAGGACTCACAGCCTGTCGGAATGAACCCGGGGCTTTTTCTGTCTCTTTAGCATGAGGCCACATCATCTGTGTACGTTGGCTGGAGAAAGAATTCTGTGGCTTTTATCAGCCTCAAGGGGGAGCCCTCAGCCACCCTATTTGGAATGTGGCTGAAGCCCTACAAGAGGGTGGGCCTTCCAAGAAGGGCAGGATGAGCACTCTGGTGCCCAGGGCAACCTGTACACCAAACTAGGGCCTGTCTCCTGCCCCCGTGCCTGCACCCTTCTGGGTGGGCCTGATGGCTCCAGCAAGAAGCATTGACCACTGTGTTTTCCACCTGCAGCTAGAAGATCACGAGTACAAGCCTTTGGACCCTAAAGACATTCGCCTTCCACCCCCCATGCCACCGAGCGAGAGGCTGCTGGCGGCCGTGGAGGCCTTTTACAGTCCTCCTTCCCATGACAGGCCCAGGAACAGGTACGCGGCTTAGGGACACCCAGCAGTGGGGTGGGTGATAGGAGGGGAATCTGTCCCTTCTCCTAGCCTGTCTTCCCTAATTTAGCCTCGTAAGAAAGACTCGTACCAGCCATGCCTTCTGCCCAGCATGGTGTGAGGCCCAGGTGAGAAGTGTGATGTCTTGAAGAGAAATCACTGGTTTGAGTTAGAGCGTCTGTCTCCTCTGGCCCTTTTTTTTTTTTTAAGACTCCATTTATTTCTAGAGAGAGGGGAAGGGAGGGAGAAAGGAGGGAAAAATCCGTGAGAGAGACATTGATCAGCTGCCTCTTATGTGCACCCCGACCAGGGATTGGATCAGCGGCCTTTTTGCTTTGTCGAATGACACTCAACCGAGTCACACCAGTCAGGGCTACATAGTGGCCATAGGGACCCTTGATGAAATGCTTTTACAGCTCTGGCTGGGTAATGCACTTGGTTAGAGCATCATACTGGTACACCAAGGTTATGGGTTTGGTCCCCAGTTATAGCACTTACAAGAATTAACCAACAAATGCATAAATAAGTAGAACAAGATGTTTCTTTCAAATCAATAAATAATTGAAAGGTTTTTCTACTTAAGATCTATCCATTACAACAAGAACTCAGACGTGGCACATTTCAGAAGTGGCTCACTGCTGCATATCCAAGTTTTGTCCCTTTCAGGATACCCTTCCCCCACAGCCTGTTTGCCAGCCCGGCTGAAATGGCTTCCCATCCTGTGCCAGGTGCACGTGTGTCCACCTAGGAGTCAGAGGCCCTGGCCCCCAGCTTAAGTATGACCACAGACCCTAACCCCCCTCGGCTTTTTCTTGAAACAGCAGTTCGGAAAGGCCAGGATCTGGGTGGAGCCAGCTTACAGCCCAGTCTCTCCACTTGCCAGCAGATGTCTTGCCTCGGCCTGCTTCTGTATTTGAGAAAGGGTGCCACGGAAACAGCCGCCCGAGTGCTGTCTGGGGGGCCCGTGCTTAACATCCTGAGTGAAGGGGGGGGGGGCTGTACACCTCTGAAGGCCTGTGGCAGGTGTGAGGAGGCTTACTCCTGATGAGCTTTCCCCAGTGCCCTGTGTTGGGGAGGTGAGAGGTGTTGTGGTCACATGGGGGTTACCCCTGTCTTACAGCGAAGGCTGGGAGCAGAATGGCCTCTATGAGTTCTTCCGAGCAAAGATGCGGGCCCGACGGCGGAAAGGCCAGGAGAAGAGGAACAGGTAAGGGCGTGCCTGCTAACCTGTGGAGTCATGGCCTCCCTGGCTGGATCTTGTTGTGAATTGCCTTAGAGTGAACCAGACACACTGTTCTGTCGCATCCTGATGTGTCATAGCATGCCCTAACACCTCGCATCCTGCCCAGTTATGTGATGTCACACACACCCCCAAACACAGGCAGAAGAGGTCAGATCTGACCCCTGCCTGGGTCTGGGGTCTGGCCCCTGTGACAGAGGCACTGAGTGGGAGCTCTTCCCACAGGCCTGGGTTAGACTGAAAACACCGGCACAAAAAAAGGTTGTTATGGTCTGTATTCACTAAGCTGCTTAGGAACGCAGCACCCTGGTGTGAATGATGTGGCCTCACACTGACAGGCACCCGTAGGTTCCTCCCAAAATCGGATGGAGGTGGCAGGCTCAGCTTGTGTGGGAGCCAGGAGGTGCCGGCTCCAGCTCAGCAGCCTCTCCCTGCAGCGGACCCTCACGGTCTCGGAGCCGATCCAAAAGCCGAGGGCGTTCCTCCTCTCGCTCCAACTCGAGGTCCTCCAAGTCATCTGGCTCATACTCGAGGTCGCGGTCACGCTCCTGCTCCCGTTCCCGCTCCTACTCCCGTTCCCGCTCCAGGTAGGCAGGTTTCACCTGTCTGGGATTGGGCCTGAGGCTTCCAGGTTGCTGCAGGGCTGACCCGCAGGGCTCTCCCTTCTCTTCCCCAACAGGAGCCGTAGCCGATCCCGCTCCTCAAGAAGCCGCTCGAGGTCCCGCTCCCGCTCCCGGTCCAAGTCATACTCCCCAGGGAGGAGACGTCGGTCGAGGTCAAGGAGCCCTACTCCGCCGTAAGATTTCTGTCTTAACTGTCCAGTGACCCGCTGGTAGCACTGGAACCTCTGAGGCTTTGCTGTGAATGTGAAACGTGTCATTAGAAGACATGCTGGCAGTGGCCTGTGCTGGGACAGCACCTCAGGGACACCCAAGCACTAATGCGGTGACATTGGTGCCTCCTCATCTCACACTGTGGTCTTACCTTTTTGTGGTCATGCTGTAAAGCCTGAGGCAGTGGCTGGGCTGTGTTTCTAACTGTTTTAGGGTTTGGTGTGCCCCACCCTTGCTGCACAGTATGGGGCAAGAGCCATCATCTTAGGGAGCCCCCTTACTTGGCTGGCGAAGAGGATGAAGAAGAGTGGTGGAGACACAAGTGTGTGTGTCTGTCCTACGCTGTGGCCGCTCATACAGGCCACACCCTGTAACACTCTTAAGAGTTTTCATTCCAATAAATGTACCAGCTCTTTTTTAAAAGACGTAACCTGTCTTAATTTTAGTTCTTCAGCTGGTCTGGGTTCTAATTCAGCACCTCCTATACCCGACTCCAGGCTTGGGGAAGAGAACAAAGGACATCAGATGCTGGTGAAAATGGGTAAGGTTCTGGGCTCAGGGTTGGGGATGATGGAGTCAGGCAGTTCCGACTCACTGCTGTGTCTTTGAAAAAGGGCAAGCCCGCAGGGTTCTGCTGGGCGTTCTTTTGTACTTTTATCAGCTGTGCATTTACAAACTGCATGTTGCTCACCTCCCCAAATGCATTCCTGTTTAACTTTGTGTCAGGGAAAGACACTAGATTACAGTTTTTGTGGGTTGTAACCACTCGCCCCTCTTTCTTCCTAAGGCTGGAGTGGATCTGGCGGCCTCGGCGTGAAAGAGCAAGGGATCCAGGACCCCATCAAGGGGGGGGACGTGCGGGATAAGTGGGACCAGTACAAGGGTGTGGGCGTGGCCCTGGACGACCCCTACGAGAACTACCGCAGGAACAAGAGCTACTCCTTCATCGCCCGCATGAAAGCCAGGGACGAGTGCAAGTAGGAGTGGTGAGGAGCCACACCAGCCGCTGGCAGCTTAGCCATTGGGACCTTCCTGGCTTATTAGCTATGGAAGATGGTAGGGACAGCTCAATTCTCACACAGCCTCCATCTTTGGAGAGCGACAGAAGAGAAAGACAACCACAGCATGCCTAGTGATCAGTGCCGTGCTCAACCGCGTGGAGGCACAGGCCCCACCTGCCAACCAGCTCTAATGTAGAAGTAAGAGTCACATGAGAAGACACCCCGAACTCATTCCCTGGACAGTGAAGCGAGATACATGAGCCCTTCTTCCCCGGACAAGAATCCTTAACGCCTGAAGGAATGGATGTCTCACATCTCTACCATCAGATGTGAGTCTCAACTCAGCAGGCACGTGTGGTGGCCGCCCTGGATGAACACAGCAGCCCCCTAGACGAGGGGCATGGTGGGCCAGCTCCACAGCTCGTACCTCCCATGTGTCGTGACAAAGCTCAGGCCAGGCGCTAGTACTACTCTTAAAAAATGGAAAAACAAAACCTTGATTTGCAAAGTTAAACAGGGTTTTCATTTTTACTCCAAATGGTTTAGTTTTTAAAAAAGAAATATTGATCTAAGATGATCCCCAGTGAAATAATTTGAAACTTGATTCCTCCAAAACATACTGGCCCTTAGTTTAGTTGATTTTTTTTTTTTTTTGAAAGTTAGCCATTTGCTGTTATCTCCAGAAACAGAAGGATCTAAGGAGACGGATCTGAGGCATCTTCAGGTGACAGAATAACACCCATGGGGGACCTGTGACCTTAGTGTCTGCTTGTGTTTTTCACTTAAAGGAACCCCAACACCAGCACTTCTGTGCGATAGCCCACTCAGACCGACACACCTGCTCTGTCACTTCCTTTTCCTACCCACCCCTCCAACCCCAAGGAGGTGAGGCCTGGAGGGAGCCACGGGGTGCCTGCGCCGGGATGGGCTGTATGTGGCGTCTTAGGCAGCGGGGCGCAGTGCCGTTTATTTGTACAGAAACATTTTTGAAAAATTCTTTTCAATAAGATGCAAAATCCTCTCCAACTTTTCAACCTGATGTGATAAAAATACTTGATTTTGTTCTAGGTTTCCTGTAGCTGTGTATTGTTTAAACGCATCTGATCCAGGATAAAGCATAAACACTTGCTGTTAACAATTTCTTGTGGGTTTTACTGTTTTGCCTTCAAATAAAGACTTTTTCATAAAGACCTTTTTCTCTGTGTGTCGACTTCCAAAGTATGCTCAGGCTCAGTAGGGAGGTGGTGTGTCAGAGTGTGACTCTGCGCTGTGGGCTTGGGTCAAAAGCTCTGTCTGGTGCCTCACACCAGGGTCCCCAGCATGGACCCCTGGCCCTGTGTTCTTGTCAGCGAATGGTACTTATCATTCCCTCCCCCAACCTTCCTCAGCTCATTAGGAAGCCAGCACCTAGCCAGGTGGAGCCCTTCCATGCGACCCTGCACAGGCTGGCATCCTGTGTTACCGTGAGCACCTGGGTTCCGTTCCTGCCAGTCTGATCCATCCCCTTTGGTGCCAGTCACAGCAAGGAGGTAGGGTCTAGGGGTTGTCAACTACTCAGCTAGAAAAGGCTGCAGCTAGGATTCCTTCCACTCAGTTGAATCCTGGGTACCACCTGCCCCCTCCAACATTGAATGTCCCCTGGACACCACTGTGTCATAGCTGGCGTACTGGACCAGCTCATTAGATCAGACCCCCAAGTCTAGCCTCACCTGGTGCTCACAGCTCCATCAGCTCCTTCTTCAGCTCCTTCAGAGCATCCTGCATGGTCAGCCGGGCAGGCCTGTGGTGCCTGATGTACTGTGGGGCAGAGGACAGACAGGTGTGTCACTGCGAGGGCCTCCGCCTCCTGGGGCTTTGGGTGCAGAAGACAGTGCCTGTCCCAGCAGTTCCTGGTCAGGCCAGCAAAGGAGAAATGACAAGACGCCAAGTAATGCCATGGAAACGAGAGAAGAGCCTGGCTTACTGGCCGAGCGACTGCGCTCGGGAGGAAGAGCCTGGTGCCACTGCCGGGACGTGGGCCCAGGGCAGGCAGCGAGGAGTCGTGCTGGGCTGCAGGCAGGCAACGTGGTCAGAGGGCTTCAGCCCGTTCCAGCAGAGGCACAAACAGGACCCCACAGGGGTGCATCGGCAAGGTCCAGAATGTGGGAAACTGTCAGAGAACCTGTTTTCTTCAACAAATAAGCTGCAAGAACACAAAAAAGATGGGAGGGGGAGACCTGTAGAGCAGTGGTTCTTAGAGTGGGTCCCCAGTGGGCCACCCTGCTGCCAACACCTGAGTGGTCACTGCCCTGGGGGTCAGATGCTGCTCAGGGCTGAGACCACCACTAGGGTTAGGAGGCTGGAAAGACAGAAGACAGTCGATGTAGGGATTGTGTCTGGGCCCTGATGGAAAAATAGGAACACAGTGTCCAAGTCTGATGAGACAAGAGGAAATCTGAACCCTGCATGTCCAACCATATTTTAAAAAGTTCATTGGGTATGGTATGATAATGGTATTACGACTTTTTAAAAAGTCCTTATTTTTTAGAAACGTACTGAAATACTGGTAATTGATAAGAATACAGAAGAGTTCATATAGTATGATGCCATTTCTATAAAGAAATAGATACCTATTACATTGTAATAGTTTATATACTGTATGATATAGTATGTAATATATATTATCCATAATATAGTTCACATTTTACATAAGAAAAACATGAAGAATGTATTGAGCTGGTAATAGTTATCTCTGAAATTACAGAGGATTTTATAAGTTAACATATCCCTGTAACAGCATTTTTTATAAAATAAAATATTTTGCCTCGGTTGGTATGGCTCAGTGAGTTGAGCGCCGACCTGCAAACCGAAAGGTTGCAGGTTCGGTTCCCAGTCAGGGCACATGTGTGGGTTGTGGGCCAGGTCCCCAGTTGGGGGTGTGCAAGAGACAACTGATATCTCCCTCCCTTTCCCCTTCTCTAAAAGCAAATAAAACTGTTTTTAAAAAATAACAGCCCTGGACTTCCGCACAACATGGAGGCATGCAGAGAGACACTGTGCCTCCTCGCACAACCAAGATAAGGACAACAATTTAGAAACAGAGTAATAACCAGAATTGACAGAAAATTGAACTGTATGGAATTCGGACAACCAAGAAGTTAAAATAGACCCGTTCATCCAGACCTGTAGGAGGGGCGAAATTGGGCAGCCGGGCTCAGGTGCAGTGTGGAGAGCAGAAAGCATGGGGACCGGGTGCGTAAGGCATGCAGGGCACGCAAGACCGCAGCTGGCAGACCCCAGCCAAGGGGTGGCAACTGGCAGACCCAGCGAGGTGGTGATTGTGAAGCAAGGCACTGTGCACAACCCAGGATCACAGCACTGGAAAATAGAGCCCCGGGGCACTGACTGAAAACACCTGTGGGAGTTGAGGCACAGGGAGAGACTCCCAGCCTCACAGGAGAGGTCCTTGGGAAGTCCCACGGGATGCACAAGCCCACCCACACGGGAATTGGCACCAGAGGGGCCCAGTTTGCTTGGAGGAAGCGGTGGAAGGGACTGAGGTCCGACGGAGAGCGGAGCAAATGCCATTGTTACTTCTTGGACCCCACCCCCACATACAGCGTCTCAACCCAGTGACTGGGGTGCCCCACCCTGGTGAACACCTAAGGCTCCACCCCTCATATGTAACAGGTGTGACCAGACCAAAGGGGGGAAAAAGATGGCTCAAACAGAATTGAAAGCCTCACAACCAATACTTTTAAGCGACCGAGAGATAGCCAACCTATCAAATGCACAGTTCAAAGCACTGGTGATCAGGATGCTCACAGAACTGACTGATTTTGGTCACAAATTAGATGAAAAAAATTAAGGCTACAATAAGTGAAATGAAGGAAAATGCACAGGGAACCAATAGTGATGGAATGAAAGCTGGGTCTTATATCAATGGAGTGGACCAGAAGGAAGAAAAAAACATACAATCAGAAAGAATGAAGAGATAAGAATTCAAAAAAAATGAGAGACTTAGGAATCTCCAGGACATCTTTAAACGTTCCAACATCTGAATTATAGGGGTACCAGAAGGAGAAGAGGAAGAGCAAGAAACTGAAAACTTATTTGAACAAATAATAAAGGAGAATTTCCCCAATCTGGCAAAGGAAATAGACTTCCAGGAAGTCCAGGAAGCTCAGAGACTCCCAAAGAAGTTGAACCCAAGAAGGAACACACCAAGGCACATCATAATTACATTAGCCAAGGTAAAAATGAAGGAGAGAATCCTAGAAGCAGCAAGAGATAAGCAGACAGTAATCTATAAAGGAGTTCCCATCATACTGGCAGCTGATTTTTCAAAAGAGACCTTACAGGCAAGAAGTGGCTGGAAAGAAGTATTCCAAGTCATGAAAGGCAAGGACCTACATCCCAGATTGCTCTATCCAGCAAAGATTTCATTTAGAATGGAAGGGCAGATAAAGTGCTTCTCAGATAAGGTCAAGTTAAAGGAGTTCATCATCACCAAGCCCTTATTTTATGAAATGTTAAAGGGGCTTATCTAAGAAAAAGAAAATAAAAAACATGTACAGTAAAATGATAGCAGACTCACAATTATTAACAACCACTCCTAAAACAAAACCAAAAACAAACTAAGCAAACAACTAGAACGGGAACAGAACCACAGAAATGGAGATCACATGGAGGGTTAGCAACAGGGGAGTAGGAGGAGGGGAGAGGCGGAAAAGGTACAGAGAATAAGTGGCATAGACAGTAGGTAGAAAATAGGAGGAGGGCAAGAACAGTATGGGAAATGTAGAAGCTCAAGAACTTATGACACATGGACATGAAGTAAAGGTGGGTAATGTGGATGGGAGAGGGTGTGCAGGGTGGAGGAGAATGAAGGGGGGGTAATGGGACAACTGTAATAGCATAATCAATAAAATATATTTAAAAAATAATAACAGCCAGCCCTGGCTGGTGTGGGTCAGTGGATTGAATGCTGGCCTGTGAATCAAAGGGTCACTGGTTTGGTTCCCAGTCGGGGCACACGCCTGGGTTGCGGGCCTGGTCCCGAGTAGGGGGTGCACAAGTGGCAACCACACACTGATGTTTCTCTCTCTCTCTCTCCCCCCCTCCCTCCCTTCCCCTCTCTAAAAAAACAAAGTATTTAAAAAATAAAATGACATATTTTGTGTAATCAGACAAAAATTAAGTTTTCAGAGGGAAAAAGAGGCGAGTGTGACATCCCTTGAGCTTCACCCCTTGGGCCTGAGAAGACTGCCCCTGACTGGGTGGTGCTGGGGCAGAATCTGAGGAGTGACAGCACCCTTCACCAAGGTCATTTTTGGTCCGAGGTCACTCGGAGCTGCGCCAGCTTCAACACTTGGTGGGCTGGCTGTCAGTGCTCCCACTCCACACTGGCTCTTGTTTCGGAAAAAGAAAGAACAGATTCCCTTTGGTAGGACAGAAGGTGACGGGTCCCAAGCAGCCCTGGGCTGAGTGCTGTCCCCATGGTCAGAGCCTTGCCTGCCCTCCCTGTCCCTGGAAGGGGTAGCTGTGCTGCAGTCACCTCTTTGGTCTCCTCCAGAGTGTGATAGTGGAATGAGTCTTGGTCCAGGGACTGCAGAAGGGACCCATGCAGGTGCCGGCTGGCCTCGAGGAACTGCTGCGTCAGGCTCAGCTGCTGCTTCAGCATGTCATTGAGTGCGAACACCGCTGGACTGTAAGCTGTCAGGGCTGCCCCGGCACTGAGTCACTGAGCAGCCCCAGGGCCTGAGCTCCACCAGTGCCTTCATCCCATCGGGAGCAGCTGCTTTGGGCCCCACCCCTTCACTGTGTCTGGATACTTTCCAGAAGTGATGCTACCTTGGGAAGTAGTGAAGGCCTCGCTTATTCAACGTCTGTCTCTACTAAATGAACTACCTTCTACTGATATGTCTGGACTGCTCAGCTCTCGGCAGAAATGGAAGTTTTCATTTCCACATTCAACACAGAGAAAGGTGAATTGACACCCAAAAAGTGCAACTGTACAATGTGAATCTAAGACTATTGAACTATCCACTTAAAAATGAAAAAGAGGGTAAATTTGACATGCATCTTTAAACACATAATTAAAGTAAAAATTAAAAATTTAACTAAATAAAAATACGATTAGAAATAAAAACTACAAGTGTTAAAAATTATCATTATTGCCCTGACTGGTGTGGCTCAGTGGGCCTCCGAAAGGTTGCTGGTTTGATTCCCAGTCAGGGCGCGTGCCTGGGTTGCCAGTTGGGGGTGTGTGAGAGGCAACCAATCAATGTTTCTCTCCCTCTCTTCCTCCCTTCCCCTATCTTCAAAAATAAATAGTTAAAATCTTTTTTTAAATTATTATTAAAACTATATAGTAACATGGGAAAATCTTCAAGGGTAATGTTAAGTTTTTAAAAATCTTTGAAACAAACTTTTCATTTGTTATAATCAGTATATTTTAGTATCTTCATCTTTTAAAAATGTTACGAAAACTAAAATGGGAAAAAGCAGCAGGTACTTGCTGGTGCCATGAGAGCCATCAGTGGCCCTCCCTGTCCACCTGGCTGGCAGCCTCGAAGTACTGGTTGAGTGTCTTCAGAAGATAAACAGATACGGCTTCCAGATAAAAAATCTCAAAGGGGAACACACAAAATAAAAATAGCCTTGTTGTATGGAGGGGCTTAGGGGTGTGTTACTTATAACCTTTCTCCTCTGTCCAACATTGGTGTCCTTTGGCGAGACAGACCAAAGGTTCTTGGACACTCAGTCTACCATCTGGGATCCTAGAAACTGGCAGCTACCTGTGGCTGTGACAATCCCTGCCAACATGTTCCCCAAACCCAGTGCTAAAGGCGGCGCCGCACATCCAAGGGTGGGTGTGACTTTGTAGGTAAAATGCATCCACTTCACTGCAAGGCACCCCAAGTTGGGCTGTTACCTTCTATTGCATCCGCGCTGACCACATGACTGGCGATGGGTGCAGGGTCCACGTAGGCACCTCCCAGGGCTGGCCCGGTGGTCGCCATGCCTGCCACTGTCCCAAGGACAAATGGAGAGGGGGTGAATGGCAGGATCTGGGGCAATGACTATTGAGTGAAGCCCTTCCCCCCTGCCAATCTAAATGAACCAAATGGGGAGAATTACAGCCCCTTGCACAGTCCAGGGTGTCATCTAGATGAGACAAGGCAGCTAGACAATGTTTAAAGAAAAAGAAACTTTCTGCTCAGAAGGGCCAGAGCTGACACTGGAGTCAAGATAAATGTCTGGAAAGTCACACTGGTGGGCGCCCTGCACCGAGGAAGAGAATCCACCCAACACACTAACGGAGACAACTGCAAGACTGGCAACGCGGCAGCCCTCAGGGACCCTGCACTGGGCCCCAAGAGCTGCTTGCAGATGCTCTGTCCCAGAAGTAGCTTCTGTCCCAGTGCTGTCCCTAGGCTCAATGACATTTGGTGGGGCCGTCCTGGGCACTGTGTTATGTAGAGCAGCATTCCTGGCCTCCACCCACTGGACTGTCACCTAGCTGTCAGCCAAAAATGGCTCCAGGCCTTGCCAGTGTCCCCTGGGTCCAGAATCACTCACTGAGAACCACTGCCTTATTCTTCAATTCTGGGTTCTTCCATAATGTGTGAGGGCTCAGAAGGAAACACCCAGGGTGGCTGCCAAGGCACCGAGGTCCCCCCAGCTCACTAATGACAACAACCAGGCCTCCAGACCCTAGAGCTCCTTGTCACACTTCCAAGGACACCTGCAGCGCACACCCTGAGTGCCCGTCACTGCCGCCATGGCCTGCATCACCTTCCTTGGGCTCTCAGGACACATGCTCACCTGTCGTCCACTGGTAGGTGAAGGCGGGGTCGGGGGTCTGCACAGCCTTCTCCTTCACCATGACTCTTGTAACATCCGGGGCCCACTTTTTCTGAGACACTAATGTTGGTGGGGTATGGTCTGTCCTCAGGCTTACAGAGTGTTCAGACAAAGAAGCCAACGTCCTATCCCAAGATTCCCCAGAATGGCTCATTGGCTCTGATGCTGTCAGACTTGGGGATTCCTCGAAATCTTCTGAATAAGCCAGGCTCCCCATGCTGGCTGTAGGCTCCTCAGGTGTTGACCCAGCAGAGGAGGCCGATGGCTCACTCAGGTGCTCTGAGACCTCGCTGCCAGTCAGGGGACCCCAGGTCCAGGAGCTTTTGCGGGATGCCTTTTGCCTCTGACCTCCTTTCTGAAACAAAAGACAGCAGAGATGGCTGGGAAGTGTTTCTGAATGACGAATATGCTCCAAATACCACTGCCTTAGAATGAGGTGCAGGGTGCCCCGGGGGGCCCAGCAGGCGGAGGCCCATGCAGATCCTTCTCTGGATTGGGGCAGGTGGAGTGTTCATGCAGAGCGCCTGAAATGCTTCAGCAGGGGCTGCTGCACATAACACGGATGGCCTAAGTGTGTGAGGTGAGCACACAAGTAAAATCTGTTCAAGTGTCATTTCTGCGATTTTTAAAACATGCCTGCCTCTTATGGGGAGGTGTGGTCACTAACACGGCAAGAATCACGGAGGGACACTGGAACATGCCAGGCAGCTGTTGCTGCGGGGACGTTAAGTGGGACCCCTTTAACGGTCTGCTGTATGAGGTGCCTTCACCCTGCTCTCACCGCAGCAGGGCTCCCCGGTGGCACTCGGCATCTGAGACCTGAACGTTCTTCACAGGGCACTGGGCAGCCTCCAGCCTAGCCACCACCGACTCAATGCCAGCAGCACACCCCACCCCAGCCACGACGACCAAAACGTCTCTGAGAGCCCCCTGGGGCCGCCATCACCCCCGGTTAAGAGCTTCCGACCTGAATGAAGTGTGACAGTTGCAGGCCTCTCTATGCTATGCAGTGGCCCTCGGTGAAAAACCAGATCGCTGCACTTACTGTCTGTTGCAGGTCCAAGTTCTCACTGGCAGCTGGAGTCAGGTCATCCAGGGATAAGACGTTTATTCTAAAATCTGTAATTAAGAATGCAACATGACAGTGTTTACTGGCACATTTAGTTTATAGGTGTTTGCCGCCCTGCTGCAAGCTAAGCACTAGGGATGGGGAGCAGGGGAAACACGCTGCCCCAGGTGCAGTAAGGAGTCTAGGGCCTGCGTGCTTTCTCCCTGCAGAGTTAGAAAGTAAATATTTTGGTCTTTGTAGGCTGCACTGCTTCTGTCCCAACTAGTCGGGTCTCTCCTTATGGTGTGAAAGCCACCGTGGACCGGGCATAAACAAATGACTGTGGCTGCGTTGATCAAAGTTACTTACAAAAACAAATGCTGGGCCTCCTGGGCCCTGGTTCAGACTGATGAGCAGACAAACGCGGTGCGGTGAGGGATGCACAGTGATAAGTGAGCTCGAAGCAGGACTGGTGAGAAGGACACGCCAGCCTCTGGCGGAGATGGGAGGAAGGCTGCAGGGCCGAGGGGAGCGGCCCCTCAGGAAGATGTGACTCTGGGCCTGAAGCATCCCACATTCTCATTTAAAGCAAGGTAAGGATATGGGAGCTGGTGCTGAATGAGCACTTTGGCATGCCAGCTGGCCTATCCCCACAGCCGATGATGCAGGTGCTAAGGAGTATCAGCAGGGCACCCTGGGCAGGAAGCAAGAGCTGGAGGTGGGAGAGAGAAGATCAATCTTCTCTGGAATGTCCCTTCCCATTCTCTCTGGAAGGGACAGCTGAGGGGCTGCACCCTATGCCCTTTGCCACCCACCCAGCGCAAGACCAGACCCACTCCAGCCTGAGATTCCAGCCCGAGGGCTTGCCCTTCCTCCAAGCCCCTCCAACACTGACTGTCATCTTAATTCACACGGCAAGGAGGTCCAAACATGTGCTCATGGCCCAAACCGGCCCCCTTGGGCCATGGACCCAAGCACGTGGAAGTGTTGGCACTGGCTGAGGGTAACATTCCTGTCACAGCAGCTCCCCCTCAAATGCACGTGCTTACTGTACAGTGGGGCCAGCTGCGGCACTTCACATGCATCATCTCACTGACCTGGCTCAGCCCCATTTTACAAATGAGGAAACTGAGGCACAGAAAGGCCAAGACTGCACGGCCAATAACCAGCAGGGCCAGGATGTCCACCCCAGGTATATCAGGCCCCAAACTCAGACTTGCACTCACCACTCGCTGCCTCCTGCCCTGGAGGTTGCATCTCGGTGGGGGAGGGCAGCGTCTGGCCACCAGGACAGGCCCCTCTAGGCCAGCAGTAGGACTTGACTCACCTCACCTCCTTCACGAGGAGGTGTTCTCACATCCTCAGCCCAAACCCTGTCCCGCTGTGCTCTCCGACTCTAACCTGGACAGGTGGCAGCGGTGGACCTTTGCTGGCAGCCCTCCTCCCCCCACCCCCACTGCGGCGGCACCCTTGCACAGCTGTGGGTTACCGTTTAGGCTGCTGTCGGAAGCTTCCGAGAGCGGCTCCTGCCCAGGCTCAGCCTCGCTCCTTACACGAGAGGATGAGATCCTGCCACGTGCCGTCCTCGGGGACACTGCCTTGGACACAGCGCTGGTGATGGAAAGTGATGACACCATGCTGAGTGCCACGTCCCCTGGAATGGCAGTCTGTGGGGAGCGAGCTCTGGAGCGAGCTCTGGAGCGCGCAGTGCGAAGGGTCCTGTCTGCGGAGTGGAAGGTTGGCGGATGTGATGTCCCGAGTGGCTTGGGGCTGGAAAGTTCCTCACTGGGTAGTGAAAGGAGTTTTGGTTGAGTTGGGATCTGATCCTACTTTGGCAGAAATTAAAGAAACAGAATTAGCAAGCGTGTGATAAATGAGTCCTTATCGTTCAACAAAGCGTCTAGTAGAGCGCAAGAGACCACAGCTTCCTGGGTCAGATATTCATCCCTCAGCAGCGCTTTCTCTCCTTTCCCCTCATTTCTGGAAGTCCAGGTACAACACTTAGACAAGGTAATGCTGGGATTAGAAATACTCCACAAATAATCAGAAATGTCACTTTACTTTCACATACATGTTGTTAATTACACATTTCTAAATGAAGGCCCCTGAGTACACGATCTATGACAGCCTAGACCTTCGACAGAACCAAGACGAACGTGCAGAGGGTTTCCCTGCAAAACCCAGCCTTCCCAACACTCAGCATCCACTAGGGAGGCTATTATCAAAACACAGAAAACAAGTGCTGGTTTTTTTCTGTGCTGGTGTGAATGTGGAGAGACTGGAACCCTCACATACTGCTGGTGGGAGGCAAAATAGTACAGCCACTGGGGAAGACAGTTTGGTCCTCAGTAAGTTACACATAAAATTACCACAGGACCCACTAATTCTACTCTGAGGAATATATCCAAAAGAACTGAAAACAGAGACTTAGACATGTATACAAAAATGCTCATAGCAGCAGCATTCGCAATGCCCAAAAGGCAGAGACAACCAAAATGCCCATCAGTGGACTAATGGATAAGTAAAATGTGGCCCACCACACGGTGGAATGTTAAATGTTAATCTGCCATGAAAAGGAGCAAAGCACCAACACATGATACAATGTAGAGGACCCTGGAAAACAACATGTTGAGTGAGAAGCCAAACACAAAAGGCTACATGTTGTCTGATGTCATTTATATAAAATGCCCAGAACAGGCAACTCCATATCGACAAGAAACAGATTAGTGGAGGCCTGAGGCTGGAGGAGTGATTAATGGCTACAGAGACTGCTTTGGGGTGATAAAAATGCTCTGCAACTAGACAGAGGTGGTGGTTACAAAACATCCTAAAAGTACTACCAGTAAATGCCCATGAGCACTTCATTTGAAAATAGTTAATTTTAGGTGAATTTACTAAATTCACCTAAATTAGGTGAATTTTTACACCTCATTAAAAAAATAGAAATACAGCCTTCCCAATGAATGATTCCTGTGCGGTGATGTCATTCCTGTACAAATGACAAGGAGGTGTGGCTCGCTTGTGGCATTAATCACTGCTCGTGTTCCATCAGTTGTACAAAGTGCTGTCCTGTGGTATAACTGTGGTGTACATAGTCACAATAGTGCAAAACTGCATGAAGTGTCCCAAATTCCGTTCTCTACAGAGCAGGCCTGCAATATGTGGCTGTGGCTGTCTGAAACCCAGCCTCTCCTCGTCAAACTGTTTTTTAAGGTAGCTTCTGGGTGATGGCCACTATCAAAAGGCTCTGGCTGGTGTGGCTCAGTGGATTGAGTGCCGGCCTGCGAATCAAGGGGTCACTGGTTTGATTCCCCATCAGGGCACATGCCTGGGTTGAGGGCCAGGTCCCCGATCGGGGGGGCATGAGAGGCAACCACACATGGATGTTTCTCTTCCTTTCTCCCTCCCCCACCCCCGTCTAAAAATAAATAATAAAATCTTTACCAAAAAAAGTCTTGCCCTGGCTGGGCTGGTGTGGCTCAGTGGATTGAGTTCCCTCCTTTCCCCTCTGTCTAAAAATAAATAAACAACACCACCCAAAAAAAAAACCACCTTAAAAAAAAGTCATTAGCACTATGACATAAAGGTACAAATGCAAAGGCTTTGTTGAAAATAAACACACGCAACCCTTACCGAGAATAGTTCTGTTTGTTCTTTTTCACCATCTCTGGTGCGGGCGAAATTCTGATTCGTGCGTGTTCCTTTTTCTCTAAAAGATTCCATCAAGCTTCCCAGTAACTCCTTCATTTCCTCTTCGTCACTGTCTGGAGAATCCAATTTTCTCGTAGGTTCTTTCTCTTTGGGTATTGAAAAGCTCCTCTCCTTCCCAAAATGGGCTTCAGGGGACAGCTTTTCAACAGGTGGCTCTCTCTTCTTTAGAAACCTACTGACCTTCCCACTTGGCGTGCTGCCCTCAGTGACAGGAACTTCACAGGCCTGCTCCTGGGAGGTTTTGTGTGTGGCCTTCGAACACAGTTCAGCTGCACTCCCAGGGGGGATTTTGTCTGCTCTCCAGGGAAGGCTGTCGTCGGAGGTCTTTGGGTCAGATTCCACATCAGACAAGTCCATCTGCACCTTCCGATTCATGATCTTGGACTCGATCTGGGCCAGCTTCCTGAGTGCAGCGCTGGTCCTGAGCTTGGAGGCAGTGCTCGGGGGTCTACCAGGGGAACTCGAGAGCCCGCTCGCCAGGCCAGCATCCTCTTTCAGGAATAAGTGTTTTTCACCGACAGTCTGGCTTCTTTTTAGAAATCTACTATGACCAGGAGCTCTTTTGGTAAGATTCCTATCAACTTTCAAGTTTCTGATTTTTTCCATCTTTGAATCTTCTAAGGGAATGTCACTGAAATCACCAAAGATATCATGCATGGAATGGCTGAATTTTCTTGTTGAAGTCATCCTAGGAAGGGGAGAAAGAAAACTTTTAATAAGAATACCTGGTGTTCATATACTTCATTCAAATCTCTCAGTGTCCCCCACCACCCCAGGAGAGACCAAACCCCGCTTTGCAGTCTGGCCAGACAGAGCCTTCCCTTCAAGCCTGATGATGACAAGGAAAAGGGTCAGACACTTGGTACCACTTAATGAATTTCTGCCCAATGTCAGGTCGTGAGACGTTACATACGAAACCCAAAAGCCAGCATTTCCCAGACTCCAACAGTGTGCCTGGCCCTCTGCTCAGAGCTGCATCATCTCAGTTAAGTCTCAGGCAACCCTGTGAGTCAATTATTGTTGCCCCCTTTTCATACAGGAAGTGGAGGAAATAAAAGCCCCCACAGGTTAGGTCACCAGCCAAGGTCACCTAGCCGGTGAGCACCTGAGGCAAATTCAAAGCTCAGGTCCGATTCTAAAAAACCCACTCTTCCTAACTGGGCTCTACTGCCTCGCAAGTTGCTCTCCTCTACTCTGAGCGAGTACCGATCCCCAGGTACCCTGAAGTTGGGGCTCCTCTTTTATTCAAGTGTCCTCAGCTCTCTAATGAAGAGCTGTTAAAACACAGTCTATGTATCTGGGCTTCCCAGAAGAATTTATTTCACTTAAAGGTTGAGAACCGCTGCCCTGGAAGGAGCGGAAAGCTATGGACAGAGATAGCACCGCTCACCAAGGTCAGCCGTGTGCTGAGCACGCACTAGTGCACATTTTTCTGGGAGGAGGGGCCAGGGCTCTCATCATATTCTGAGTTCCTGTGCATCCCTGAAGAACAGGTACAACCCACTGAATGATTTACAAAGGCTTCAAAAGAGTTTAGAGATGTAAAAAGATAGGGAAATATAGCGTGGGTGGGTGTGTATTTGCTACAGCTCTTGAGTGAGAAACTCGGCACCAGTAATGAAAATGTGAACTTCACAGATCTCGTGAGCCAGCATCTGGTAGATCCCCACATCTGGGGATCTACCTGTAATTATGACTCAAATGCGCACAGAGACGTACCGAGGAACGTTACGGCAGCATTGTTTGTACTCATCAAAAACCCAAACCCATCTATGGAGCCCTGGAGGAGCCCAGAAGATGGCATTCCGATGGGGGGATGTTATACAGCTACCAAGAGGAACGAGGCGTATCTCTGTGCACAGTAACATCTCCAGCATAACAACACCTGAGGCAGAAGAGACACGACACAGAACTGCGCGCTGTCTCCATATGGCACTGAAACAACGTCAATAGTTATTTTTTTCAACATTTTTTCTTAATCCTCACCCCAGGATATGTTTATTGATTTTTAGAGAGAGAGAGGAAAAGAGAGACAGAGAGAGAAATACCAATCAGTTGCCTCCCATACACACCCTAACCCCCAATGGGGGATCCTACCTGCAAATGAGGTATGTGCCCTGACCAGGAATCAAGCCCTCGACCTTTTGGTGTACGGGACAATGCTCCAACCAACCGAGCCACCTGGCCAGGGCTCAACAGCTATCTTTATTAATATTTTTGTAGCTGGGGTTCAGGACATGGCTCAGCCCAGACCACTCTGGTCAGAGGGGATGCCCTACCTCCAGGCCAGGTTTTCTTTTCCCTGGGTTTAAAAATAAACCAATGGAAAAATAGTTAAAACCGAAAATCTTATGTTACATATATGTTACCACAACTAAAATAGACATATTTAAAATACACACAATTAGGACTGGCTGGGTGGCTTGGTTGGTTAGAGCATCCTCTGGATGTGCCGAGGATGTGGGTTCCATCTCCAGTTGGGGTGGGTGTAGAATCAATCTATCAGTGAATGCATGGATGTGTGGAACAACAAATCGATGTTTCCCTCTCTCTCTCTAAAAAAATCAATTAATTTTTAAAAAATAATTATAAAATACACACAGTTAAAAATAAATCAATAGGCAAAGGCCATGAACAGACATTTCTCCAAACAGTATACACAAATCTTAAAAAAAAAAAAAGCCCAAGAAAAAATGTTCAACATCACTAGCCATTAGGGGAATGTAAATCAAAACAATCATGAGATCCTACTTCACACCCACTAGGGCGGCTAATAACCAAAAAATACAGATAATAACAAGCGTTAGTGAAGATGTGAAGAAACTGAAAACCTTATGCATTGTTGGGAAGGCAAGAGGGTACAGTCACTAAATTACAATGCAATCTGGTAGTTCCTCAAAAGATTAGCCACGGTTGCCAAATTATCTAGCAATTCCACTCCACTTGGCCCAAGATACATGAGCTGCATGCACATATTCATAAGTTATTATCCATAATGGACAAAAAATGAAAACAATCTTGATGTCCATTAATTAGAGAATCGATGAGTACTGAAGTCCAAACAATGAAATACAATTCAGCAGTAAGAAAGAGCAAGTACCAATACACATAATAGCATACACCTCAAACACGTTACACTAAGTGCAAGTAGCCAAATGCAAAATACTCAACACTGTATGATTCCATTTAAATGGAATGGCCAGAAAAGGCAAATCTGTAGATTCAGAAAGCGCGCCAGTGGTAGCCAGGGGCTGGGAGTGGGTGCGGGGATGGACTGCAAAGGGACAAGAGGGATCTACCTCATTGGAGTGGTGCGAAGTTCCACAGTAGATCGTGGTGATGGCTGCAACACTTCCTAAGTTTACTAAAAATAATGGAGTTGTACACTTAAAAGACATGAACTATATGGTATGTAAGTGAATCCTCAATAAAATTGTTAAAAATAAGCAATCAAACTTTGAAAACACTGCCGCCCCTCGGACCACCAGGGTCTTTCCCCAAGGCTGGAGCGACCCACGTCGGACCACGCTCCCAAATGGATCCAGCCAGGTAAACTAGGGCACGACGCGCGGAGAGGGGTTGCCCTCCCCCAGCCCTGCCAGCTCAGCCCCAGAGCGTGCCTCCTTTCCCTACGACTCTTCTCCCGAGCCCCGGCGCCGCTCCTCCAGCCCCGCAACCTCCTTTCACGATGTCCATCCGCCCAGGCCGACGCTTCTCTCCGCCGGACAATCAGACCAGAGAGGACCGTTACCCCCGGCAACCGCGCTTGGACCGAAGAGACTACATCTCCCGGCGTACCCCGCGCCCAGAGGACCAATGGCACCTCAGGTCACAATCGCGGGGTGCCTTGGGAGCGGCAAAATGTGAGCCGAGACCAGTGGTGCCTCAGATCACAATCGCGAGGTGTGACGGGTGTCGTAGTTCAGGGCCAGGTCCAGCGCGCCGCAGTTACCGCTGGGTGCAAAGGGGCTGTTAACAGAAGTTCCGCACACTTTCCATGGCCCCGGCTCGGGTCCTCCTCTGCGCGATCTGCCTGCTGCGTGTGGCGCAGGCAACCATCTACTTCCAGGAGGAGTTTCTAGACGGAGGTGAAGGGTCGACGCCCATGGTAGCGGGGGGGACGTAAATTCCCCAATTCTCTGATGCCCAACGGGTGGTCCGAGTCGCATTTGGCCCACCACCCAGATTAAATTTTCAGCCCTAACCGGTTTTGTTTCCCCCCAACAGAACGCTGGAGGAACCGATGGGTGCAATCCACTAATGACACCCAAATTGGGTATTTTAGACTCTCTTCGGGGAAATTTTACGGCCATAAAGAGAAAGACAAAGGTTAGTTTAGGGTACCTGAGAAAATTAAGCTAACTGTTAAATCCCCCATAGCAACCATTCAAGGTAGGTGTGACTCACCCCTAACAGCTCCTATTCACATTCACGGGTTAGGAAACTAAGGCTTGTGTAGGGTTTGGCATTATTTCTTGTTTTCTCTCTCCTTTTTCACTTGCCCAGAGCACCCCGTTTTGTGCGCACTGCTGAGACTCCAGGGCCTTGCCCCAAGGAGGAAAAAAAAGGATATTTCTTACTTTAATTTTCATTTTAAGAAGGGAAAGAACAGAGGTAAAAGTTAAATGCTGTCAAGCGTACAGATTTTAGGGGGTACCACAGGATGAATGTTTACATCTGTACACTCAGGTCAAGCTAGGAAAAATTTTCAGCCCCACCGAGAGGCCCCCCTTATACCCCCACCCTCCAAGTCAGTAGCGTCCTGGTTCCAAGGACAAGCTCAATTCTGGCTGCTTCTCGTTCCTGATGATCAATGGTGGACAAAATACAGCTCATCTCCTGCTGGTGGTTTTGTTTGCTTATTTGTACGTCCAGCAACCTGAGAATGGTTTTTACACTTTTTAATCGCTGGGGGGAAATCAAAAGGGGAATAGTATCTTGTGACACTTAAAAATTATATAAAAGTCAATGAAATGTACAAAATTTCAATATCCATAAAGTTTTTTAAATTTTTAAAATTTATTTTAGAGAGGCAGACATTGATTTGTTGTTCCACTTATTTATTCATTCATTGGTTGATGCTCCTGTGTGCCCTAGCTGTGGATGGACCTACAACCTTGGCATATCGGAGGACGCTCTAACCAACTGAGCTACCCGGCCAGTGCTAATAAAGTTTTAATGGGACACAGCCATGATCATTTGTTTGCACACGGTTCATAGCTGCTTTCGTACTGCAAAGGCAGAATTGAGTAGTTGGGACAGAGACCAAATGGCTGACACAGTGTGAAATACTTACTCTCTGGCCTTACAGAAAGTGTGCTGACTCCTAATTTAGATGAAAAATTTCCCTCTTCCCCACCTTGCATTCCACCTTTATCTTGGCCCTGTTACTCCAATGTCACCCTCCCTGTCTGGTCTTCTTTTGTATATGCATTGCTTTATAGGTCACATGTGGACCCAAAGAGTTGGTCAAAATTCAGGCTATATGACAAGAAATGCAGTGAAAGCAAACAGGTGATTCTGTGAAGCTCATGCAAGGATAGGGGTTTCCACTTAGAGTCACCTGGGTTTTTCCGCCATGTTTTTCTTTCCTTTAACCTGGAATCCTGAGATCTGTGCATTTTGTTCACTCCAGCACACATCCACTCAGTGCAGACACAGGCAAGGCATGAGGATACAGGTTAATTTGGCCCCTTCTGTTGCAGTCTCCTGGGCCCATGATGTAGAAGCCACTGTTGGAAAAATGAACAGGATTTAGTCAGACAGAGATGGGAGGTGGTGAGAGACCTCAGGGATGGCAGAGGAGGGTGTTAAGATATGGAGGGAGATGGTGAAGCATGTGGTCTTAGCAATGGCCTCAGTGGAAGGGGCCAAGGGAGAAGGAAGGGCTGCAAGTCCCCTGAGAAAGGGAAAGGTGAGGAAAGATGAAAGACCAACAGAGGTGTGGACGTAGGGAGTTCATCCATAAGTTTAGGATGTATGATACAAATGCCCAGTTCATTTGTGATGACTCAGCATATGCAGCTCCGGGGCCAGCGTATGAAGCAAGGGAGGGGAGGTTATAACAAGACCGGCTCTGTTTTCAGGTGTGTTTGATGAATTCCAGTGTAAGATACAGATTTGGTACAGAGCCTAGTGGCTACGGAGAAGGGGGTTATAGTGTCAAAGTGAATACCTAAACTTATAAAACAATTATGAGATGATTCACATGACAAAGGATGGTCTCTTCATGAAAAGATGACACCCACAAGCCATTCACCGAGGGCAACGAGGCACTTCTTTCCACCTCAGCACTCTGTCCTTCACCTGCTGTTGTGTCTCTTCAGTCCCTGTTTTAAGACAAGAATTAAGGAAAAGAAGTAGAATGCTTTGTTTTTTAATTCAGTTGCTGCACAATCTTCCTTGTATATTCCCACCCCTTGGGAGATGAATGGAAACAAAATTAACCTTTTATTTATCATTAGAATGCATGTTAGTCATTCAGAACTGAAGTGCTTTTACAAGGTAAGACATAACAGTGGTATATCAGGTACAGAAGCCTCTGAGTACATCAAACAGAAGCTCTGTGGCATCAGAGAACCCGTTGGTGGTGTGTGCGTGGTATGTTACCGCACAAATGAGCTACGGGCACTGGATGGATGTGAATGGTTAGAAGGTTTATTATTGGGAGAAGGGGAGAGACAGTCATTTAATTCCCTGCATCACTGTCGTTCCTAATCTTTCATGAGTGTTTTTTTGTTTGAAGGTCTGCAAACCACTCAAAACAGCCGATTCTATGCCATCTCTGCACGGTTCAAACCATTTAGCAATAAAGGGAAGACACTGGTCATTCAGTACACAGTGAAACACGAGCAGAAGATGGACTGTGGAGGGGGCTACATTAAGATCTTCCCTGCGGATGTGGATCAGAAGAACCTGAGTGGAAAGTCCCCGTACTATATTATGTTCGGTGAGTTCAGGGAGTCCAGTGCAGCCATTTCTGGTGACTTTGCAAACCCTTCCACCTTGTAGGATCCTTAGACTAAGATTGCTAAAATAGTAGTATTGAGTGTACCTGACCAAAGGCTTTTAGTACAGTTAAATCTATTTAATATTATAAAAAGGGAACCATACCATTCTGTTATGCTTTTGAGAAAGTTATTTATTTAACATTAATATAGACAAAAGTATTCTGAATATACCAAGAGTCAGAAAGCCTTGCCCAGGGACCAGATCAGCCCACAGCCTGTGTCTGCTATGGCCTGTGGGCTGAGAGTGGGTTTTAACATTTTTGAATTATTGAAAAAAATCTTAAGAAGGATTGATTATATTTTGGACCCATGAAAATGATGCAAAACTCAAATTTCAGTGTCCGAGTGAAGTTTTATTGGGATGCAGCCTCACTCAGTTGATTTGCATTTGTCTAGAGCTGCTTTCAAGCAGCAACAGCAGAGTTGAGTCATTGTAATAGAGACCATGTGGTGCCCAAAGGCAAAGATATTTACTGTCTTGCTCCTTACAGAAAAAGCTTGCCGACTTTGGAATCCATTAAATGTCTCTTGACACCAGGGGAACTTGATTAAAATTTGTGCTGGGCCCTGGCTGGTGTGGCTCAGTGGATTGAGTGCCAGCCTGCAAACCAAAAGGTCACCAGTTCTGTTCCCAGTCAGGGCATGTGCCTGGGTTGTGGGCCAGGTCCCCAGATGACAGGTAAACCGATTGATGTATTTCTTACACATCCGTGTTTCTCTCCCTCTCTCCCTCCCTTTCCCTCTCTCTAAAAGCAAGTAAATAAAACATTTGAAACATCTATAAAGAAATAAAATCTGTGCTGGAATGGGAAGAGACCACATTGGGCTATGGGAACTAGACAGAATTTAAGCGTGTGGATCAAAAAGCTTTATGAGTGAAGAGGATTCTGGGAAGATGGCAGAATAGGAAGCACCAGGAATCTGTCTCCCCACTTAGACAACAATTGTACTGGCAGAGTCTGCCAGATTTAAATATTTTGGAACTATGGAATCTGTGGAAGGATTGCAACTTCCAGGGGGAGGCTGGGAGCATTCATTTCTGTCCACTTCAGCCTTCAGCACAGTAGCATCTACCCATCTCCCACCCCGAACCACAGACAGCTGGGTAAGTGTTCCAGGAGCAGCTTACACGTAGTGTGCAGGAGCCAGGGTGGGCAAAAAGGACTCCGTCCTCCAAATACCAGGGTTCTGAGCTCTGATCACTGATTGCTGCTTCTGGTCACAAAGGTGCAGACACAGTGATGGGCAGTTGTTGTACCTCCCCTCACTGTGGTAATCCTCTCACCATCCAGCCAAATAAAGGGCCAACTGGGGATCCCTTCTCCCCTGCTGTCATTTTTTACCTTTCTTTTCCTTAGGAAGCCAGACATTAAAGACTAAGATATTAAAAACAAAAACAAAACTGTAGCCATGGCCAGGTAGCTCAGTTGGTTAGATTATCATCCCAATACATCAAAGTTATGGGTTTGATCCCCAGTCAGGCCACATACAAGAATCAACCAGTGGATGCATATATAAGTGGAACAACAAATCAGTGTCTGTCTCTCTCTCTCTCTCTCTCTCTCTCTCTCTCTCTCTCCCCTGTCTCTCTAAAAATCAGTGCATAATTTTTTTTTAAAAATTACTTTAGAAAAAACAATATGCAGGGAAAAATACAAAGTGATCACACAGGGAAAGACTGAGAAATGACCTGAGAAAACCTTAAGTTTACACCCTTGGCACAGAGACAGCCTGCCA